TGGTTTTGTGTGGCAGGCGCGATACTTTTGTGACGTTTTCAGAAGATGCGTTGCAGTTTTCGTGGCAGGCGCAGCACTTTGGACGTGTCCATCGTCATTTTGCTTGGCAGGCGCAGCACTTTAGACGTGTCGTGTTGCGTGTTTTTTGCGAATCGCATTGGCAGGGCTGCGTCAAGTGGCGACAAGGTGCGGATTCCGTGGCAGGCGTGGCATTTTGTGAGATGTGCTGAAAATTGATGGAAGCCTGGCACGAAACATCGATTTTGGGATAGCAAATTTTCAGGTTCCTCAGAAAACTCGTAGGAAAACTTCGATTTTGATGCTACAAAGTGTCAAAATTGGAGGATGTCTCGCACGAAATGCTCGTTTTGGCGCTACCACGTGTCTCGTCTCGAGTCTCTGGTTTTCCCGTGGCTTCGCCGTGTCTATAGGGGAAGCTGCACAACCTCTCCTTTTTGGAGGTTTCCAAGCAGGTTGTTGTGTTGTTTTGCGTGGCAGGCGTGGCACTGTGTGACATTCCAACCTGTTTTATACCGTGTCGACAGTTCTTTTGTGTGGCTGGCGCAACAAAGCACTCCACACTTTACACTCTACACTTTGCTCCACACTCTACACTCCACACTCTACACTCCAGACTCCACACTCTACACTCCACCACACTCTACACTTTACACTCCACACTTTCCACTTTGCACTCCACAATTTACACTCTACACTTTACACTCCACACTCTACACTCCACACTCTACACTCCACACTCTACACTCCACACTCCACATACACTCCACACATCTCCACACACTCTACACTTTACACACTCCACAATCCTCACTCCACACTTTACACTCCACACTCTCCACTTTACACTCCACACTCCACACTCTACACGTTCCACTCCACACTCTACACGTTACACTCCACACTCCACAATTTACACTTTAGACTCCTCACTCCACACTTTACACTTTGCACTTTATACTCCTCACTCCACACTTCACACTCCACACTCCAAACTCCACACTTTACACTCTACACTGTTTACTCTACACTCTACACTTTACACTCCTCACTCCACACTCCGCACTCTACACTTTACACTTTAGACTCTGCACTTTACACTTTACACTCCACATTCCACACTCTACACTTTACACACTCCACACGCCTCACTCCACACTTTACACTCCACACTCCTCACTGTACACTCCACACTCCACACTCTACACTTTCCACTCCACACTCCACACTCAACACTCTGCACTTTGCACTCCACACTCCCCACTTTACACTCCTCACTCCACACTTTACACTCCACACTTTATACTTTGCACTTTACACTCCTCACTCCACACTTTACACTGAACACTCAATACTTTGAACTCCCCACTCCACACTCTACACTTTCCATTGCACACTCCACACTCTACACTTTACACTCCACACTCTACACTCTACACTTTACACTTCACTCCTCACTCCACACTTTACATTTTACACTCCTCACTCCACGCTTTACACTCCACACTCCACACTTCCCACTTTACACTCCACACTCTACACTTTACACTCTACACTTTACACTCCACACTTTACACTCTACACTCCACACTTTACACTGTACACTCCTCACTCCACACTTTACACTCCACACTCCACACTACAGTCCACACTCACTACACTCCACACTCCACACTGTACACTTTACACTCCACACACTACACTTTACACTCTCCACTTTACTCTCTACACTCCACACTCCACACTCTACACTTTACACACTCTACACTCCCCACTCCACACTTTACACTCCAGACTCCTCACTTTACACTCCACACTCCACACTCTACACTTTCCACTCCACACTCCACACTCTACACTTTCCACTCCACAATGCAGACTGGTAACAGGGGAAATATATATGTACAAGACTGTTCAAATCAACTATTGCAGAAAAGTCTTCTGCGTGACTGCATATCCATGTGTTTCGACATCTGTACCATTAACATACGTGTGAGCATTCGGGTTCGTGGGCTGCATCTTGTTATACGTACAAATAGATCCATAACTACTCCAGGGTTTGGGGCGCATTTAACATTAGAAAGGAATTATGGTCAGTGCCAGAATTATAGAACGGAAGTTAAAGAGTACGAAGGTACGCTTATTTACCGTACCCTGTTGTTCCATAATTCTGTTTTCCTCGGAAGGTATGAAAAAAAAAACGTACCTTAACTTACCCCTATTTTTTTTCGTCGTTCTATAATAATTCTGGTTTGCTCTATAATTGCGTGTTCCCCAATTTTTCTCACATTTACCAATTTCGTTCTATAATTAATTTTCCGTTCTATAATTAATTCTGCGGAAACCGTTCTATAATTTGTTTTCCGTTCTATAATGGATTTTGCGGAAACCGTTCTATAATTCTGGTTTCCGTGTCACTGTTGTCCGGGGTATATGTACTGTACATGTACAAATATGCAGTAAATATCATGGAGCTGCCAGAAATTCTAGAACGGAAAGAATTAAGAACGGAAAAAATAATTATAGAACGGAAAAAAATATAGAACGGAAAAATAATTATAGAACGGAAAAATAATTATAGAACGGAAAAAATAATTATAGAACAGGATCCGAATCCGCGCGGAATCGGGATCCGGAGGAGTCCGAAGGTACGGTATTTTGCCGTACTTTTGTACTCCTGATTCCGTTCTATAATTCTGGCACCGACTGTATACTGGGGATCATCATCTGAGTCATGCTAAGCAATGCAACGCACTGCTATGTAAAGTGTACGCGATAAATAGGGACTCAACATATAGGATCTGCCCACGGTACCTGCATCTAATCCATGAATAAACAGGTCAGCAACAAGTCACATCATATATGGGGATTATATAATGGGGTGCAAGGAGATACTACGTGGGAATTTGTGAAATAGTGCGTGTGTGCACAAAAATGTAAGCAAATATGTTGATCGCATATCATCCAGGCAATTTGATAGACTGATTCAGAACCTATTTATCACCCAATTTTGTCGGAAAATCTACCACCAAACAAGCCATTCAGGACTCCCTCAGTCATTCAGGAGCCCGTTTTTTGTAAATGGAAAGGTTGCACCAAGCCCGTGGTTTTGAAAATGACATGAAAGAACCCGTTCAAATAAAAAACTCTGACATGTATGTACATGTTAAATACATACATCACACCACATCACATCACATCAAATCACACCACATGACATCACATCACATTACATACGTACATACATCAAAAGATTTGACGCACTTCTAATCAATTCTACATATATTAGATACTACATACACCTTTAAACCACTTGAGTGGCAAATGGCGTTGCAGCCTCATAATGGCAGGATATGGTAGGACTATTGGTGATAAGCCAACCTCCAGCAACACAGTCGGCCAAAATAATCTTTCAAATCTTTCAAAGCACCACCCAGGCTCAGTGTTGTAGTTATGTTTGGCATCCACTGCTCTGACCTTCTGCTCTTTGCTCACCAAATCGCGAGGAAGTCCCTTGCTCTCGGCATCAAACAGCACGTTGGGCAACACGGCCCGGCCACCGGCTGAGGGCGCCGTCAGATTTCGGAGCTTCGCGGCAATCTCGGCAGACTTGGCGCGGTAGGCCGTGAGGTTCTGCGCGCCTCTGGTGCTCCGCAGGCGCCGCTCCTCGGGTTCTGGGAGCAAATGCTGGTACCACCGCTGATACACACGCCTTAGTTGCACTTGGGGAGCCATTCCACATCTTGCTGGAGTTGGATGACGGATGGAGATAGAACATGATGGAACAAGAGCTATTTAAAAAAAAGCTAAGCAAAGTACGCCCCACCCTTAAAAACGCACAGTCTCCAGCTGGTCTCCCTGGGCTTGGTCAAATAGCAATCTTCATCAAAGCCGTAGATCGTGGACCCTGCCGTGGCCAAATCCCTCAGAATGGCTGCAGCACATGAGCCGCCCTGGGAGATGGTAGCTGCACAGGTGGAGCTGGCGCTGGTTAGAAAGGCCGTGAGCCACAGAATGGAAGTGATGGCATGAGCCACGGGAGCCTGGAAGATGAGTTCGTTCATGAGGAAACCATGGATTTATGAGCAGCTATGGGGTTTCTTGCAACATGTCTTGTAAACTCTCATCGGCTATTTGAGATGTCTTAAGTACCTCTGTGATCCTCTGTGTACATTTAAACCTGAAATGATACATTAATGTGTAAAGGTACGTAAAAATATACCCCTCCAAACAAGAAACATGTATATATTTTGCCTTCGGCGCATTGACAAATGCGAGCCGCGGAATTAATACGTGCATCGAACACGAATGAATAATATGACACATCGTTGGTTTCCTAGTCATGGCAACTGCTCCTGTCAACCTAGGATCAAAAACCCCAAGTACCACCCCGATTATCAAGAAGGGGGTACCAAGCTTAGTAGGAACATATCCCAAATCATAGCATTGTATAATACACTAGTAGTTAGGGCCTATTACTCCGGGTAGGTCCAGTAATTAAATGTAGTTATGTAAGTCAAATAGGTTCAAAATGAGATCACCCGCATTCAGTTCGTAGGAGCCGTACAGCCCAAAGGCTCATCATCAGGACAAATCTCCGCGCGGTAGATGTTCACCACAGCCTTCCCCAAATAGGTTGCCGCTTGCACTGCATCGATCACACAAGTGGTCTTCACGATGCTGTTTTCCTCGGAAAAATGATGGCTTATGTCGCTGATGTCAGGTGAATTCAACACTTTTCTCGAGAGTGGGAGCCAATGATGGGACGTCATTTCACAATTTGAAGGAAGGGCCACTTCAAGCTTCCACAGTCTCACAAACTTACTCGGGATATTTTTCCAAGCATAGGATTTAGAGGCTTGAAATCTGTCTAGCCTTGAGCTGAGCATGCGTTGAGCTTTGGGATTGGCAGCAATTGGGGTCGCAAAAAGTTTGGGAATCAATGAAGAACATCAAAGAACATTTATATCTCTTTTCAGCACCCAGCTGTACCATGTCCCAGTGTCAGTGGGGTAGTCTTCATACGGCTCATCCGGCTCATCGAACAAGTTCACGTCGAAGAGGTGCCGTTGCTCCTGTTGCTCCCGGCGGAACTCGGAGTGCAAGGGCAACATGAGATCATGATCTGTTGGACCATCCGCGGACGGTGAACCAGCCCCTGCGGTAATGGCCAGCCAAAGAACCATGCACAAAAGCCTTGGGGTGGCGAAGAAATCTCAGTTTTAGATTGGGATTGTCCATTAATTAAAAACCATCCAGCTATTGGTGATACCCCATTTGTGGAACCGCCAATATATCCCCACCAAGTTTTTTTACTATCTAACGATTAGAAATCATGCTAATAAAGTTTGTCCTGACTTGCCTTTTTACGGACATGTCATGAATTTAACCTGCCACAGAAACGCAGATTTGGCAAACCTTAACATTGGAAGACCTTGTCCCCCCTCCACTGCGCACACACAACTGAAAAGAATGCAAACACTACAAACCCAAAAAATCACACACTTTGTATACATCGGCATGCTTGTCTGTTGATTAAAAAAATGTTTCAACACAAGTTGTTTCAACACCATTTCCGTTGGGGTAGATGGCAACATGTGGCAACAAGTGTCTTTTCATGTCCTGATTCTGGAGGTAAGTTACAATATTAGTATAGCCTGTATAGCAACCCCGACAAGATAGAAAAGTAACATCCAATTAAAATAGTGGTAAATTACTGATCTATGTTTTGTTTTTTTTGGGGGGGTACTACCAATGAATTGTAATAATTGCAACTGAGTCTAAATCGTTTCCCTTCATATTATATAAGCGTGCCAGTTCCCAGGGAGAAATCATCCAGTTGCCAATCAAGACACCAGAATTTAAATAGAAAACGGGGAGATTTCAATTTTTTCGGGGTCGCATTGTATCATATTTCATGAATAACAAATCATCACTTGTTGGCACTAGCCCCGAACAATTCAGATGGCCAGCCACTGTTTTCCAATGTTTCTTCAACTGGGGTTGACATTGACTATCAAACGGTTTGCTCAATTCGTAGCCCCTTGGCCCCTATAAACAAAGGGGAGTAAGGCTAGCCATAGCTCCGTTGATGATTTGCAAACTTCCAGGATCATCCTGCATTGCCAGACTCCAAGAAACAGCAGGTTGCTCCCCAGAAGTCCAAGCACCAAGGGCCCGGATGCCCGTCGCCAGCCTCCTGCACTGCGCTCCTCGTTTTGAGCATCGGCAATCAGCTGTTGGTCTTCCACCGCCATGGCAGGTGCTGCAACAGTTCGAGGGCTGGGATGGGGTTGCCCAAATGGCTTCGGAATTTCACTTGATCTGACATCATTGGACCATATCTGACCAATGGAAACTCAAGTTGCAATATGGTTCACCAACAGTTTGAAGAGTGTGTTTTTGAATTGTACCTCAAAAACGGGGGGTGCTCCAATTATCGAAGGAAGTTTAGAAGTCAAACTTCCGACAATATGGACCGATGGAAAAGCAGAGGTGGGAAGAGTCAGAGAAAGACAAAGAGTCAGAAGAAAGAAGATGCAGGTGCGCGAAAAGGTAGGAAAGCCGCGAAACACTGCGTTTTTCGATGATTTGTGGGCTTGCTAAAGCGGCGGGTGCGGAGCCATGTGGCCAGATGAGAGATAAAAAGTTGCACGCCGTTGTGGCGCGAAGAACGTTTCGAAGTCAAAAGTTGAAAAAACCGAGGGGTTCGGAGCACCTTTTGAAGTTGAGATGTCGAAAAAGTGTACGCCGTTGTGGCGCGAAGCACATGTCGAAGTCAAAAGTGGAAGAAACTGAGGGGTTCGGAGCACTTTTGGACGTTTGGATGTCGTTTTGCCTGGTAGGCACAAGGGATTCTGCACCTTGCCAAAAGAGAACAAAACGTTTTCAACTACAACCGCGGCTACACTACACTAATTACATTACACTACACTACACTAACTACAACTACAACCCCAACCACTTTACATTACACTACGCTACACTACGCTACACTACAGTAACAACACTACACTACACTGCACTCCAGTTCACTACACTACACGACGCTACAACCACAAATACAACTACAACCGCAACTACAAGCACAACTACAACTACATTGCGCTACACTAGCCAATTTACAGTATATACGTTAGAATAAATTACATTACACTACATTACACTACACTACACATTACTATACTACAACTACAACTATAACTACAACTACATTACACTACACTAATTACATTACACTACACTACACTACACTACACTCCACAACACTCAATTACACTACACTGCACTGCACTGCACTTCACGACACTACACTACACTACTCTAAACTAGCTACAACTACAACTTCAACTACAACTACACTAGATTACACTACACTACACTAATTGCATTACACTACACTACACCACACCACACTACACTAAACACAACTACAGCTACAACTACAACTACGCTACTTTACACTACACTACGCTAGGCTACACTACACTACCCTGCAATACATTACATTACACTACACTCATTACACCACCAGACGCAACTGCAACTGCACTACACTAATTAGACTACACCACAACTACAAGTCCACTACACTGCAACTACAACTACAGCTGCACTACACCACACTACATCCAGCAGTTGTGACTGAGGTGACCGACCAAGTAACCACTGCACAACTCCAACCACCTTCCAGTCCATCAGTGGATTCGCTCATCCGTGATTCACAAAAACAAAGCTCTCCTTTAGGTTTCCTATTTTGAAACTTCCGCCACCGCCTTGTGCGGTGCTACTGGTATTATAATCTAAAGATGGTACCCCACACGCAAACCAGACCCGTGAGAGGTAGATTTTCAGCAACCCCAGGATACCAACTGCGGCCCTGAGAGATGAACCTAGTCTTAGGAGCTAGGGAGGCCACATCGCAAGAACCCATCATTTTGGGTGGGGAGGATGCAAAGGTTGGTGGCAAAGTGTGTATTGACACAGGGCGCATTTTTGCAAGCACGTGCAAATCATGAAGGAATATCACCGCTAAGCTTCATTCAAAGGCTCATGCAGTATCAAACTTTTATCATCACAGGCATACTTACAATGACATCAGGTATACAAGCAACAATGAGGCAATGAATCATGATATTGAAATAAACTCATTGTGTACACCATTCATGCGACAAACAACTCATGTATAACTAAATAACCTATGCATATACATATATAAGAATTAGATAGAATTAGTCTTTAAACTTACTCATTTTTTGATGCATGTACGAAACTATCATAACATGTTAAACAAATGTTCACACACATTGTAAAAACTTACGGCCCAAAGCGTCCCTCACTTCAGAAATGGCAGTCTTGCGCTCCCCATTGTCAAGTGACGCGCAGTACTTCACCCAAGTCATTTGAATATGGATATGTCGTATGAAGTCATATGTCATAGAAATGCCTTCTTGTCTCGATAACCTTGACACTTGAGGGGTTAGAGGATTAGCAAAAATAATAAACATCTCACTCCACCAGTTCTTAAGGGCATCTATATAGCATAAGGGGAGGGGGGATTGGGAAAGAAAGAATCGACCCCCCTCTTTAAATGCCTTGAGAACTTTAGGGATGAGCGGCTTGACAAAAACAGTTGTTGAGGTTTGTTTATAAATCTTAGAACCTTCAATCTGAGTAACCAGCACGCTCAACCAAGTAGATTCTAGAACATGGATTTCCTAAACTGGTAATTTATGATTAATCAGTCATCCCTCCAATTCATACTGAATATCCCCATGTATCAGTATCCCTATGTTAAAAACTGGGGCTGTGCAAAAACTAGGCCCCACTACATTGCGTCGCCTTCTGTTTTTAGCGGAGATGTCAAGGTGGAATGTGCGGCATTCCTTGACTTTGACCAGACATCGCAGATTTCTGCAGTGACCCTGGCTGAAAACCCGCAGGACTCCAGCAACATATTTCTTCGACGTCACGTCAACACTTTCTGAGTAACCCTGTGGCAGATCAACCTGGCAAATTTCACCATGGATAGTGTCAACCTCGCATTGGCAAACTAGGGTTTACAAACTAATTAGGGGGATACCCCCCAAAGAGTATCTGCTACTCAGCTACTCCCCCAAATCAAACAGCCCGTGGCTCAGGGGTTTATTCCAGGGTTGGCACATGTTGGCACTTTAGACATAGATGATTTCTTTGATGAAAAATAAATGACAAAACATGAGCAGTGCATGAAACGACTTAAAAACATCACAGCAGCAGCAGCTGCTGTTTGAAGAACTATGTTGGGATTCCTGGTCGCTCTGTCAGGATACGGGTGGGATTCTGTCGTGCTCGATCCGACCGCGGCCCAGAGACATGGGCATGGGTCAAAATTAAGGCACCCACGAAGTTGGGAATATTTTTGGTGGTTCTATCTGGCATATTTTCTAAGAATGCATTTGGTCTATCTTACAACATCTTACAACGTATTTAACGATCTATCATTTATTCTGGCACTTTATCCAGAATATATTCCGCCATTCTATCTGACATCTGTCTGCCATTTTATCTGTCACTTGATCTGGCATGCTGGCAGAGTGTTCTGGTCCGGCGGGCCCACGAGAGCCAGAGAGCTAGCAGTAATGTTCGTGTCCGGTAAGCCCCAGAGAGCCTTCGAGCTCGCCACCGTCGACAGCGCCAGGAATTTTGCGAGCTCGCCATAATCTGGTGAGCCGCAAGCAGATTGCGAGCTTGTCAAACGAAGCACGATGAGGAGAAGGACGAGGGAGGAAGGACGGAAGGACAGAAGAAAGGAGGGAAAGAGGGAGGGAAGCAGGAAGGAAGGAGGGAGGAGCCGAGGAGCAAAATGATATGAAATCTAGGGACTTCACCTGGCAGGTGGGGAAATATTTGAAACCACCAACCGTATACCGACCTTTTGTTTGTGGGTGTCAAATAATTTTGACCGAGTCCCGGGTCACAACTTGGGACACTAATTAAGGCCAGGCCGGGAGTGACACGCCAGTGACCTCGGATCGGTCTGGCCAGATCATGATGCAACAGTGCGGCGCACATGTTCGGTACGCCGTTTACAAATTCCACAGCATTCAGGGATGGAAATGTCCCATTGAGCCCACAGAGCCCGCTAAGTCCCAGTTGGGGGATCATTGCCAACAATCATATTTGGGTGATGCTCAAAAACAAATATTGGACACGAACCACCCCTGGATCAAGGCTGAATTAAAAATCCTCACCTGTGGCAGATTTTCACAGTACACCAGCCATGTCTCCAACGTGGCTTGTGCAGAGCTTCAAAATAGCAAGCACTCGTCTGGCTTTCAACGAGAAATGCTAAGAAAGGAATAGAAAAGGGTTGAGGTCCATTTTAAACGGCGCAGCCTTCAATGGCACCTCCAGTGCATCGCCGACTTCGACTAAGAGCCAAAATCGGCTAAAAAATCATTGCGTGCGTGGCAGGACACATTCTAGTCCGCAAGTCTTTGCAGCCTCTGGCTCTTTTCGAGCCGAAAAAAAACTACAGACTTAAGCCTTCTGTTCCGACTCCCCGGCGGAGCACCCGGCGGAGCAGTGCTGCAACTCACACCCCTCTGCCCCTCTGCCACTTCTTTCTAATGCTATGCTGGCTCGCAATCTCATAAACGTAGATGACAATCATGAAAATATGTTGCTTAAATCCACACACATACACATAGCATAGAAAAAGGCATTCATTCTCAAGAGCTCTCAAAGCATTCAACATGTTCAACCCATGGTCGTCACCATTCACATTCACCAGCACCCATCAGCAGGGGCCAAATAATTCAACATATTCAACATATTCAACATATTCAACATGCATGCCTCAATTGCTCGGCCCCTGGCCGGCCTGTAAAAGTGCCTTGTCCTCGTGTCTAGGCACCGGCCGCAGACCGGAGGCCGCCCCGGATGGGGCCGGTGGGGGCCCGGAACGTGGCGTCACAATACTCCGCAGCCTGCAAGGTGGAGGCTACGAAGATGGCCATGGAGCCGACGACATCGGAGATGTCCGCGCCACAGAGCGCCTCACGCTTGCCACGCTTAGGGCAATCCACAAAGGCCAAGGATAAGGTCTGCGCGGCATAGGAAAAGGAACCAAGGACCTGAGGAACCGACGGAGTACACAACACGAGTTATTAAGGAAGCAAAGGAAAGATTTCAGCAGCATGAGTCATATATAGTCATATATACTCTCCTTTATTATTTGTGGTTGGGTTTGCTTCCGAGAATCTAAAATGTGTTGGCTGCAGAACATGTTAACATCAAAATGGCTAACTTGAGTGAATACATATGAATACATTAAAAAAAATAAAGTTTAAAAAAGTATATATATATATATTGCATTTAATCATTGTTTATCGTACCCTCAGTACTTAGAAACTACTGGGTGGGCATGCGGCATACAAACATAGTTATAGGGGCCCCATGTCCCAACTTATACAGTAGAGTAGGGGTTAAATATCCTAAAGTCACCTTAACTGCACCCAAGTATGATATCAGCCTTTTATCTCCATTAATGTGGTAAACCGTAAGCCCAACAGTAAACCTTCCCATCAACCAAACATGTGGAGGTCATGCTACATCACCCCAAATAGGGGTATACCCAAAAATGAACCTCTTTTGGGGATGGTTTACAATTAGGTTTACCACATTGTAGCCCATTATATTCCCATCAAAAACCACCACTTTCACCTCAAGGGTGCAAGCTGAGGGCCAAGTTGGTCTAGTTATAAGTCGACCTAATTAGCTATCGTCTTGGGGCCTCACCCATTGTACATCCCTTTGAAAAATTCCATGCGATACCCATTCTATCCCCATTACATGATTGCATGAACTTTCCTGGGGGCTTACCGCCACACTTTTGAAGTCAATGTGTGTTTGTTCGCGTCAAATAGTGTCAAACAATGCATAATAATGCATATATAGCTTCAAAAAGCGTAAGGTAGTGCTTATATAGCGTTGATTATCGTTGAGTAGCGTCGATTAGCGTCGCAAAATCACTCAAACTCAAATAAATGCAAATCTCAAAGGGGCCTGCCGGGTTCAAATATATCATCGATATGTCATGCCAATATCTCTGTAGTACCAACTTGCGTGGATATATTTAGGCACCAATTTTTAAAATGACATACTTGATTTCAAGTCGTGCAATGCATTGCTTTGGTTTGAAACACATGATATATGCACACTGCCGACGAAAGTGTTGCTGTGATGATTCCTCCAATGCTGTTTCCGGGTTCTTGCTTTGAAACGATCGAATGGTTTGGTCTATAAACTCCTGGATAGTTTACATAAATAATGCTAGTAATGCGAGTAGAGCAACAATAAACCACCCATATCTTGACGGTTTGTGATTCCTATTTCTTTCTAGCACTATAACCAACCATTTTCACAGGGTATGACCAGCCCAGGTACAACATTATCACCACTAACCATCCTGAACCATTATCAACCACAACTAACTAATTAACTATTACTATTACTGACTCAATGAATGACTATTACTATTTAACTATATATGACAATTTTGAAACCACAATCACTAGTCATCATTAACCATAATAAACATTTATAAACCATCCCACCATGGCCCAGGTACGTACAAGACATCCACGGTACAGGCCTTTGGCTCCGGGCAGTTGCGCGAGGCCTCTTCAATGGAGAGCAAGGCACGCATCATCCACGTGGTGGCGGCCACGCTGTCAAAGACACAGTTGGCCAGGGCAAAGTTGCGTTCCTGGTGGGATCTTAAAGGGATTTCGTAAGATTCCGTAAGGAAAAAGTGAGATTTTATGGTGATTTAGTGGAAAATACTTCTATTTGTTTTTGGAGATTTAGTGGAAAATATTGTGTCTTTAGTGGTGGGTTAATGCCAAATTACTTTACTTCGTGTGATCCCCACCATGACATTTATCGATTTGTTACTGGCAAATCTTCTGGCATTCTATCTGACATATCTTCTGGCATTCGATCTGGCATACCTTCTGGCATTCTACCTGGCATATGTTCTGGCATATCTTCTGCCATCCTATCTGGCAAACCTTCTGGCATTCTATCTGGCAAACATTCTGGCATACCTTCTGGCATTCTATCTGATATTCTATCTGGCATACCTTCTGGCATTCTATCTGGCATATTTTCTGGCATATGTTCTGGCATATCTTCTGGCATTCTATCTGGCATTCTATCTGGCATATCTTCTGGCATATCTTCTGACATCCTATCCGGCATTCTATCTGGCAAATGTTCTGGCATTCTATCTGGCAAACATTCTGGCACTTTATCTGGCATACCATCTGGCATATCTTCTGGCATACCTTCAGGCATTCTATCTGGCATATCTCATGGCATTTTATCTGGCATATCTTCTGGCATTCTATCTGATTCCACCTGGGCATTCTATCTGGCCGTTGAGGTCCAGCGGTCACATTCTCTAACTTTCTTCGGCACATTTTTGTCCCATATCTTCCTACATGAAAGGTCCGGCAGGGAACACTGGGCGTGGATGGTCGTGGTTGAGGTCCGGCAGGGAACACTTGGCATGGATACTCGCGGTTGAGGTCCGGCAGGGAACACTGGGCGTGGATGGCCGTGGTTGAGGTCCGGCAGGGACCACTGGGCGTGGATGGCCGTGGTTGAGGTCCGGCAGGGAACACTGGGCGTGGATGGTCGTGGTTGAGGTCCGGCAGGGAACACTGGGCGTGGATGGTCGTGGTTGAGGTCCGGCAGGGAACACTGGGCGTGGATGGTCGTGGTTGAGGTCCGGCAGCGAACACTGTGGATCGCGAGTCGCAGTTGAGCAGGAGGACGAGGAGGACAACGAGAGGAGGAGGACGACGAGAGGAGGAGGAGAGGAGGAGGAGGAGAGGAGGAGGAGAGGAGGAGGAGAGGAGGAGGAGAAGGCAACTTAGATAAAATCTAACAACCCTCACCTGGCAGGTGGGGAAAAAAAGATTTTGTGAAGAGTGAAGGTTTAGTGGAAACAATTGTGATTTGATGGTCGTTTTGACGTTGGAAACACGGCTTTTTTCCCGAATGCGTAGCAAGGGTTCCAGTTTCACTCTGGGGGTCTGGGGGTTGAGGGTGTGTTCGCTCGACGTTGCGTTTACATCCGCAACCGTTCGCAACCGTTCGCGCGATCCCCGTATGGCCGTGCCTGTGGTAAGTTCTGCAGAAGGGGTGCTTTTTGTAGGTTTCAAACATCTCGTTGCTTCGTTTCGCGTGGCAGGCGTGGCACTTCGTGACATTCAGACGTGTTTTGTAATGTGTCGAAAATGGTTTTGTGTGGCAGGCGCGATACTTTTGTGACGTTTTCAGAAGATGCGTTGCAGTTTTCGTGGCAGGCGCAGCACTTTGGACGTGTCCATCGTCATTTTGCGTGGCAGGCGCAGCACTTTAGACGTGTCGTGTTGCGTGTTTTTTGCGAATCGCATTGGCAGGGCTGCATCAAGTGGCGACAAGGTGCGGATTCCGTGGCAGGCGTGGCATTTTGTGAGATGTGCTGAAAATTGATGGAAGCCTGGCACGAAACATCGATTTTGGGATAGCAAATTTTCAGGTTCCCCAGAAAACTCGTAGGAAAACTTCGATTTTGATGCTACAAAGTGTCAAAATTGGAGGATGTCTCGCACGAAATGCTCGTTTTGGCGCTACCACGTGTCTCGTCTCGAGTCTCTGGTTTTCCCGTGGCTTCGCCGTGTCTATAGGGGAAGCTGCACAACCTCTCCTTTTTGGAGGTTTCCAAGCAGGTTGTTGCGTTGTTTTGCGTGGCAGGCGTGGCACTGTGTGACATTCCAACCTGTTTTATACCGTGTCGACAGTTCTTTTGTGTGGCTGGCGCAACAAAGCACTCCACACTTTACACTCTACACTTTGCTCCACACTCTACACTCCACACTCTACACTCCAGACTCCACACTCTACACTCCAACACACTCTACACTTTACACTCCACACTTTCCACTTTGCACTCCACACTTTACACTCTACACTTTACACTCCACACTCCTACACTCCACACTCCACACTCCACCACACTCTACACTTTACACACTCCACAATCCTCACTCCACACTTTACACTCCACACTCTCCACTTTACACTCCACACTCCACACTCTACACGTTCCACTCCACACTCCACACTCTACACGTTACACTCCACACTCCACAATTTACACTTTAGACTCCTCACTCCACACTTTACACTTTGCACTTTACACTCCTCACTCCTCACTTCACACTCCACACTCCAAACTCCACACTTTACACTCTACACTGTTTACTCTACACTCTACACTCCACACTTTACACTCCTCACTCCACACTCCGCACTCTACACTTTACACTTTACACTCTGCACTTTACACTCTACACTCCACACTCCACACTCTACACACTCCACACGCCTCACTCCACACTTTACACTCCACACTCCTCACTGTACACTCCACACTCCACACTCTACACTTTCCACTCCACACTCCACACTCCACACTCTGCACTTTGCACTCCACACTCCCCACTTTACACTCCTCACTCCACACTTTACACTCCACACTTTATACTGTGCACTTTACACTCCTCACTCCACGCTTTAAACTCCACACTTTACACACTCTACACTCCCCACTCCACACTTTACACTCCACACTCAATACTTTGAACTCCCCACTCCACACTCTACACTTTCCATTGCACACTCCACACTCTACACTTTACACTCCACACTCTACACTCTACACTTTACATTTTTCACTCCTCACTCCACACTTTACATTTTACACTCCTCACTCCACACTTTACACTTTACACTCCACACTCCACACTTCCCACTTTACACTCCACACTCTACACTTTACACTCTACACTTTACACTCCACACTTTACACTCTACACTCCACACTTTACACTGTACACTCCTCACTCCACACTTTACACTCCACACTCCACACTACAGTCCACACTCACTACACTCCACACTCCACACTGTACACTTTACACTCCACACACTACACTTTACACTCTACACTTTACTCTCTACACTCCACACTCCACACTCTACACTTTACACACTCTACACTCCCCACTCCACACTTTACACTCCAGACTCCTCACTTTACACTCCACACTCCACACTCTACACTTTCCACTCCACACTCCACACTCTACGCTTTCCACTCCACAATGCAGACTGGTAACAGGGGAAATATATATGTACAAGACTGTTCAAATCAACTATTGCAGAAAAGTCTTCTACGTGACTGCATATCCATGTGTTTCGACATCTGTACCATTAACATACGTGTGAGCATTCGGGTTCGTGGGCTGCATCTTGTTATACGTATAAATTAGATCCATAACTACTCCAGGGTTTGGGGCGCATTTAACATTAGAAAGGAATTATGGTCAGTGCCAGAATTATAGAACGGAAGTTGAAGAGTACGAAGGTACGGTTATTTACCGTACCCTGTTGTTCCATAATTCTGTTCCTTACACTATTTTTTTCGTCGTTCTATAATTCTGGTTTGCTCTATAATTTTGTGTTCCCCAATTTTTCTCACATTTACCAATTTCGTTCTATAATTAAGTTTCCGTTCTATAATTTATTAATTCTGCGGAAACCGTTCTATAATTTTTTTCCGTTCTATAATTGATTTTGCGGAAACCGTTCTATAATTCTGGTTTCCGTGTCACTGTTGTCCGGGATATATGTACTGTACATGTACAAATATGCAATAAATATCATGGAGCTGCCAGAAATTCTAGAACGGAAAAATTAAGAACGGGAAAAAATAATTGTAGAACGGAAAAAATTATAGAACGGAAAAATAATTATAGAACGGAAAAAATAATTATAGAACAGGATCCGAATCCGCGCGGAATCGGGATCCGGAGGAGTCCGAAGGTACGGTATTTTACCGTACTTTTGTACTCCTGATTCCGTTCTATAATTCTGGCACCGACTGTATACTGGGGATCATCATCTGAGTCATGCTAAGCAATGCAACGCACTGCTATGTAAAGTGTACTGTACGCGATAAACAGGGACTCAACATAGGATCTGCCCACGGTACCTGCATCTAATCCATGAATAAACAGGTCAGCAACAAGTCACATCATATATGGGGATTATATAATGGGGTGCAAGGAGATACTACGTGGGAATTTGTGAAATAGTGTGTGTGTGTGCACAAAAATGTAAGCAAATATGTTGATCGCATATCATCCAGGCAATTTGATAGACTGATTCAGAATCTATTTATCACCCAATTTTGTCGGAAAATCTACCACCAAACAAGCCATTCAGGACTCCCTCAGTCATTCAGGAGCCCGTTTTTTGTAAATGGAAGGGTTGCACCAAGCCCGTGGTTTTGAAAATGACATGAAAGAACCCGTTCAAATTAAAAACTCTGACATGTATGTACATGTTAAATACATACATCACACCACATCACATCACATCAAATCACACCACATGACATCACATCACATTACATACGTACATACATCAAAAGATTTGACGCACTTCTAATCAATTCTACATATATTAGATACTACATACACCTTTAAACCACTTGAATGGCAAATGGCGTTGCAGCCTCATAGTGGCAGGATATGGTAGGACTATTGATGATAAGCCAACCTCCAGCAACACAGTCGGCCAAAATAATCTTTCAAATCTTTCAAAGCACCACCCAGGCTCAGTGTTGTAGTTATGTTTGGCATCCACTGCTCTGACCTTCTGCTCTTTGCTCACCAAATCGCGAGGAAGTCCCTTGCTCTCGGCATCAAACAGCACGTTGGGCAACACGGCCCGGCCACCGGCTGAGGGCGCCGTCAGATTTCGGAGCTTCGCGGCAATCTCGGCAGACTTGGCGCGGTAGGCCGTGAGGTTCTGCGCGCCTCTGGTGCTCCGCAGGCGCCGCTCCTCGGGTTCTGGGAGCAAATGCTGGTACCACCGCTGATACACACGCCTTAGTTGCACTTGGGGAGCCATTCCACATCTTGCTGGAGTTGGATGACGGATGGAGATAGAACATGATGGAACAAGAGCTATTTAAAAAAAAAACTAAGCAAAGTACGCCCCACCCTTAAAAACGCACAGTCTCCAGCTGGTCTCCCTGGGCTTGGTCAAATAGCAATCTTCATCAAAGCCGTAGATCGTGGACCCTGCCGTGGCCAAATCCCTCAGAATGGCTGCAGCACATGAGCCGCCCTGGGAGATGGTAGCTGCACAGGTGGAGCTGGCGCTGGTTAGAAAGGCCGTGAGCCACAGAATGGAAGTGATGGCATGAGCCACGGGAGCCTGGAAGATGAGTTGGTTCATGAGGAAACCATGGATTTATGAGCAGCTATGGGGTTTCTTGCAACATGTCTTGTAAACTCTCATCGGCTATTTGAGATGTCTTAAGTACCTCTGTGATCCTCTGTGTACATTTAAACCTGAAATGATACATTAATGTGCAAAGGTACGTAAAAATATACCCCTCCAAACAAGAAACATGTATATATTTTGCCTTCGGCGCATTGACAAATGCGAGCCGCGGAATAATACGTGCATCGAACACGAATGAATAATATGACACATCGTTGGTTTCCTAGTCATGGCAACTGCTCCTGTCAACCTAGGATCAAAAACCCCAAGTACCACCCCGATTATCAAGAAGGGGGTACCAAGCTTAGTAGGAACATATCCCAAATCATAGCATTGTATAATACACTAGTAGTTAGGGCCTATTACTCCGGGTAGGTCCAGTAATTAAATGTAGTTATGTAAGTCAAATAGGTTCAAAATGAGATCACCCGCATTCAGTTCGTAGGAGCCGTACAGCCCAAAGGCTCATCATCAGGACAAATCTCCGCGCGGTAGATGTTCACCACAGCCTTCCCCAAATAGGTTGCCGCTTGCACTGCATCGATCACACAAGTGGTCTTCACGATGGCGTTTTCCTCGGAAAAATGATGGCTTATGTCGCTGATGTCAGGTGAATTCAACACTTTTCTCGAGAGTGGGAGCCAATGATGGGACGTCATTTCACAATTTGAAGGAAGGGCCACTTCAAGCTTCCACAGTCTCACAAACTTACTCGGGATATTTTTCCAAGCATAGGATTTAGAGGCTTGAAATCTGTCTAGCCTTGAGCTGAGCATGCGTTGAGCTTTGGGATTGGCAGCAATTGGGGTCGCAAAAAGTTTGGGAATCAATGAAGAACATTTATATCTCTTTTCAGCACCCAGCTGTACCATGTCCCAGTGTCAGTGGGGTAGTCTTCATACGGCTCATCCGGCTCATCGAACAAGTTCACGTCGAAGAGGTGCCGTTGCTCCTGTTGCTCCCGGCGGAACTCGGAGTGCAAGGGCAACATGAGATCATGATCCGTTGGACCATCCGCGGACGGTGAACCAGCCCCTGCGGTAATGGCCAGCCAAAGAACCATGCACAAAAGCCTTGGGGTGGCGAAGAAATCTCAGTTTTAGATTGGGATTGTCCATTAATTATAAACCATCCAGCTATTGGTGATACCCCATTTGTGGAACCTCCAATATATCCACACCAAGTTTTTTTACTATCTAACGATTAGAAATCATGCTAATAAAGTTTGTCCTGACTTGCCTTTTTACGGACATGTCATGAATTTAACCTGCCACAGAAACGCAGATTTGGCAAACCTTAACATTGGAAGACCTTGTCCCCCCTCCACTGCGCACACACAACTGAAAAGAATGCAAACACTACAACCCCAAAAAATCACACACTTTGTATACATCGGCATGCTTGTCTGTTGATTAAAAAATGTTTCAACACAAGTTGTTTCAACACCGTTTCCGTTGGGGTAGATGGCAACATGTGGCAACAAGTGTCTTTTCATGTCCTGATTCTGGAGGTAAGTTACAATATTAGTATAGCCTGTATAGCAACCCCGACAAGATAGAAAAGTAACATCCAATTAAAATAGTGGTAAATTACTGATCTATGTTTTGTTTTTTTGGGGGGGTACTACCAATAAATTGTAATAATTGCAACTGAGTCTAAATCGTTTCCCTTCATATTATATAAGCGTGCCAATTCCCAGGGAGAAATCATCCAGTTGCCAATCAAGACACCAGAATTTAAATAGAAAACAGGGAGATTTCAATTTTTTCGGGGTCGCATTGTATCATATTTCATGAATAACAAATCATCACTTGTTGGCACTAGCCCCGAACAATTCAGATGGCCAGCCACTGTTTTCCAATGTTTCTTCAACTGGGGTTGACATTGACTATCAAACGGTTTGCTCAATTCGTAGCCCCTTGGCCCCTATAAACAAAGGGGAGTAAGGCTAGCCATAGCTCCGTTGATGATTTGCAAACTTCCAGGATCATCCTGCATTGCCAGACTCCAAGAAACAGCAGGTTGCTCCCCAGAAGTCCAAGCACCAAGGGCCCGGATGCCCGTCGCCAGCCTCCTGCATTGCGCTCCTCGTTTTGAGCATCGGCAATCAGCTGTTGGTCTTCCACCGCCATGGCAGATGCTGCAACAGTTCGAGGGCTGGGATGGGGTTGCCCAAATGGCTTCGGATTTTTTTCACTTGATCTGACATCATTGGACCATATCTGATCAATGGAAACTCAAGTTGCAATATGGTTCACCAACAGTTTGAAGAGTGTGTTTTTGAATCGCACCTTAAAAACGGGGGGTGCTCCAATTATCGAAGGAAGTTTAGAAGTCAAACTTCCGACAATATGGACCGATGGAAAAGCAGAGGTGGGAAGAGTCAGAGAAAGACAAAGAGTCAGAAGGAAGAAGATGCAGGTGCGCGAAAAGGTAGGAAAGCCGCGAAACACTGCTTTTTTCGATGATTTGTGGGCTTGCTAAAGCGGCGGGTGCGGAGCCATGTGGCCAGAAGAGAGATAAAAAGTTGCACGCCGTTGTGGCGCGAAGAACGTTTCGAAGTCAAAAGTTGAAAAAACTGAGGGGTTCGGAGCACCTTTTGAAGTTGAGATGTCGAAAAAGTGTACGCCGTTGTGGCGCGAAGCACATGTCGAAGTCAAAAGTGGAAGAAACTGAGGGGTTCGGAGCACTTTTGGACGTTTGGATGTCGTTTTGCCTGGTAGGCACAAGGGATTCTGCACCTTGCCAAAAGAGAACAAAACGTTTTCAACTACAACCGCCGCTACACTACACTAATTACATTACACTACACTACACTAACTACAACTACAACCCCAACCACTTTACATTACCCTACGCTACACTACAGTAACAACACTACACTACACTGCACTCCAGTTCACTACACTACACGACGCTACAACCACAAATACAACTACAACCGCAACTACAAGCACAACTACAACTACATTACGCTACACTAGCCAATCTACAGTATATACGTTAGAATAATTACATTACACTACATTACACTACACTACACATTACTATACTGCAACTACAACTATAACTACAACTACATTACACTACACTACACTACACTCAATTTCACTACACTGCACTGCACTGCACTGCACGACACTACACTACACTACTCTAAACTAGCTACAACTACAACTTCAACTACAACTACACTAGATTACACTACACTACACTAATTACATTACACTACACTACACCACACCACACTACACTAAACACAACTACAGCTACAACTACAACTACGCTACTTTACACTACACTACGCTAGACTACACTACACTACTCTGCAATACATTACATTACACTACACTCATTACACCACCACAGACGCAACTGCAACTGCACTACACTAATTAGACTACACCACATCCACAACTCCACTACACTACAACTACAACTACAGCTGCGCTACACCACACTACATCCAGCAGTTGTGGCTGAGGTGACCGACCAGGTGACCACTGCACAACTCCAACCACCTTCCAGTCCATCAGTGGATTCGCTCTGCCATCCGTGATTCACAAAAACCAAGCTCTCCTATAGGTTTCCTATTTTGAAACTTCCGCCACCGCCTTGTGCGGTGCTACTGGTATTATAATCTAAAGATGGTACCCCACACGCAAACCAGACCCGTGAGAGGTAGATTTTCAGCAACCCCAGGATACCAACTGCGGCCCTGAGAGATGAACCTAGTCTTAGGAGCTAGGGAGGCCACATCGCAAGAACCCATCATTTTGGGTGGGGAGGATGCAAAGGTTGGTTGCAAAGTGTTTATTGGCACAGGGCGCATTTTTGCAAGCACGTGCAAATCATGAAGGAATATCACCGCTAAGCTTCATTCAAAGGCTCATGCAGTATCAAACTATCATCACAGGCATACTTACAATGACATCAGGTATGCAAGCAACAATGAGGCAATGAATCATGATATTGAAATAAACTCATTGTGTACACCATTCATGCGACAAACAACTCATGTATAACTAAAAAACCTATGCATATACACATATAAGAATTAGATAGAATTAGTCTTTAAACTTACTCATTTTTTGATTCATGTACGAAACTATCATACCATGTTAAACAAATGTTCACACACATTGTAAAAACTTACGGCCCAAGGCGTCCCTCACTTCAGAAATGGCAGTCTTGCGCTCCCCATTGTCAAGTGACGCGCAGTACTTCACCCAAGTCATTTGAATATGGATATGTCGTATGAAGTCATATGTCATAAAAATGCCTTCTTGTCTTGATAACCTTGACACTTGAGGGGTTAGAGGATTAGCAAAAATCATAAGCATCTCACCCCACCAGTTCTTAAGGGCATCTATATAGCATAAGGGGAGGGGGGATTGGGAAAAAAAGAATCGACCCCCCTCTTCAAATGCCTTGAGAACTTTAGGGATGAGAGGCTTGACAAAAACAGTTGTTGAGGTTTGTTTATAAATCTTAGAACATTCAATCTGAGTAACCAGCACGCTCAACCAAGTAGATTCTAGAACCTGGATTTCCTAAATTGATAATTTATGATTAATCAGTCATCCCTCCAATTCATACTGAATATCCCCATGTATCAGTATCCCTATGTTAAAAACTGGGGCTGTGCAAAAACTAGGCCCCACTACATTGCGTCGCCTTCTGTTTTTAGCGGAGATGTCAAGGTGGAATGTGCGGCATTCCTTGACTTTGACCAGACATCGCAGATTTCTGCAGTGACCCTGGCTGAAAACCCGCAGGACTCCAGCAACATATTTCTTCGACGTCACGTCAACACTTTCTGAGTAACCCTGTGGCAGATCAACCTGGCAAATTTCACCATGGATAGTGTCAACCTCGCATTGGCAAACTAAGGTTTACAAACTAATTAGGGGGATACCCCCCAAAGAGTATCTGCTACTCAGCTACTCCCCCAAATCAAACAGCCCGTGGCTCAGGGGTTTATTCCAGGGTTGGCACATGTTGGCACTTTAGACATAGATGATTTCTTTGATGAAAAATAAATGACAAAACATGAGCAGTGCATGAAACGACTTAAAAACATCACAGCAGCAGCAGCTGCTGTTTGAAGAACTATGTTGGGATTCCTGGTCGCTCTGTCAGGATACGGGTGATCCGACCGCGGCCCAGAGACATGGGCATGGGTCAAAATTAAGGCACCCACGCAGTTGGGAATATTTTTGGTGGTTCTATCTGGCATATTTTCTAAGAATGCATTTGGTCTATCTTACAACATCTTACCACGTATTTAACGATCTATCATTTATTCTGGCACTTTATCCAGAATATATTCCGCCATTCTATCTGACATCTGTCTGCCATTTTATCTGTCACTTGATCTGGCATGCTGACAGAGTGTTCTGGTCCGGCGGGCCCACGAGAGCCAGAGAGCTAGCAGTAATGTTCGCGTCCGGTAAGCCCCAGAGAGCCTTCGAGCTCGCCACCGTCGACAGCGCCAGGAATTTTGCGAGCTCGCCATAATCTGGTGAGCCGCAAGCAGATTGCGAGCTTGTCAAACGAAGCACGATGAGGAGAAGGACGAGGGAGGAAGGACGGAAGGACGGAAGAAAGGAGGGAAAGAGGGAGGGAAGCAGGAAGGAAGGAGGGAGGAGCCGAGGAGCAAAATGATATGAAATCTAGGGACTTCACCTGGCAGGTGGGGAAATATTTGAAACCACCAACCGTATACCGACCTTTTGTTTCTGGGTGTCAAATAATTTTGACCGAGTCCCGGGTCACAACTTGGGACACTAATTAAGGCCAGGCCGGGAGTGACACGCCAGTGACCTCGGATCGGTCTGGCCAGATCATGATGCAACAGTGCGGCGCACATGTTCGGTACGCCGTCTACAAATTCCACAGCATTCAGGGATGGAAATGTCCCATTGAGCCCACAGAGCCCACTAAGTCCCAGTTGGGGGATCATTGCCAACAATCATATTTGGGTGATGCTCAAAAACAAATATTGGACACGAACCACCCCCTGGATCAAGGCTGAATTAAAAATCCTCACCTGTGGCAGATTTTCACAGTACACCAGCCATGTCTCCAACGTGGCTTGCGCAGAGCTTCAAAATAGCAAGCACTCGTCTGGCTTTCAACGAGAAATGCTAAGAAAGGAATAGAAAAGGGTGCAATTTCTTGAGGCCCATTTTAAACGGCACAGCCTTCAATGGCACCTCCAGTGCATCGCCGACTTTGACTAAGAGCCAAAATCGGCTAAAAAATCATTGCGTGCGTGGCAGTACACATTCTAGTCCGCAAGTCTTTGCAGCCTCTGGCTCTTTTCGAGCCGAAAAAAAACTACAGACTTAAGCCTTCTGTTCCGACTCCCCGGCGGAGCACCCGGCGGAGCAGTGCTGCAACTCACACCCCTCTGCCCCTCTGCCACTTCTTTCTAATGCTATGCTGGCTCGCAATCTCATAAACGTAGATGACAATCATGAAAATATGTTGCTTAAATCCACACACATACACATAGCATAGAAAAAGGCATTCATTCTCAAGAGCTCTCAAAGCATTCAACATGTTCAACCCATGGTCGTCACCATTCACATTCACCAGCACCCATCAGCAGGGACCAAATAATTCAACATATTCAACAGATTCAACATGCATGCCTCAATTGCTCGGCCCCTGGCCGGCCTGTAAAAGTCCCTTGTCCTCGTGTCTAGGCACCGGCCGCAGACCGGAGGCCGCCCCGGATGGGGCCGGTGGGGGCCCGGAACGTGGCGTCACAATACTCCGCAGCCTGCAAGGTGGAGGCTACGAAGATGGCCATGGAGCCGACGACATCGGAGATGTCCGCGCCACAGAGCGCCTCACGCTTGCCACGCTTAGGGCAATCCACAAAGGCCAAGGATAAGGTCTGCGCGGCATAGGAAAAGGAACCAAGGACCTGAGGAACCGACGGAGTACACAACGCGAGTTATTAAGGAAGCAAAGGAAAGATTTCAGCAGCATGAGTCATATATAGTCATATTTACTCTCGATCCTTTATTATTTGTGGTTGGGTTCGCTTCCGAGAATCTAAAATGTGTTGGCTGCAGAACATGTTAACATCAAAATGGCTAACTTGAGTGAATACATAAAAAAAAATAAAGTTTAAAAAAGTATATATATATATTGCATTTAATCATTGTTTATCGTACCCTCAGTACTTAGAAACTACTGGGTGGGCATGCGGCATACAACCATAGTTATAGGGGCACCATGTCCCAACTTATACAGTAGAGTAGGGGTTAAATATCCTAAAGTCACCTTAACTGCACCCAAGTATGATATCAGCCTTTTATCTCCATTAATGTGGTAAACCGTAAGCCCAACAGTAAACCTTCCCATCAACCAAACATGTGGAGGTCATGCTACATAACCCCAAATAGGGGTATACCCAAAAATGAACCTCTTTTGGGGATGGTTTACAATTAGGTTTACCACATTGTAGCCCATTATATTCCCATCAAAAACCACCACTTTCACCTCAAGGGTGCAAGCTGAGGGCCAAGTTGGTCTAGTTATAAGTCGACCTAATTAGCTATCGTCTTGGCGCCTCACCCATTGTACATCCCTATGAAAAATTCCATGGGCCCATTCTATCCCCATTACATGCTTGCATGAACTTTCCTGGGGGCTTACCGCCACACTTTTGAAGTCAATGTGTGTTTGTTCGCGTCAAATAGTGTCAAACAATGCATAATAATGCATATATAGCTTCAAAAAGCGTAAGGTAGTGCTTATATAGCGTTGATTATCGTTAAGTAGCGTCGATTAGCGTCGCAAAATCACTCAAACTCAAATAAATGCAAATCACAAAGGGGCCTGCCGGGTTCAAATATATCATCGATATGTCATGCCAATATCTCTGTAATACCAACTTGCGTGGATATATTTAGGCACCAATTTTTAAAATGACATATATACTTGATTTCAAGTCTTGCAATGCATTGCTTTGGTTTGAAACACATGATATATGCGCACTGCCGACGGAAGTGTTGCTGTGATGATTCCTCCAATGCTGTTTCCGGGTTCTTGCTTTGAAACGATCGAATGGTTTGGTCTATAAACTCCTGGATAGTTTACACAAATAATGCTAGTAATGCGAGTAGAGCAATAATAAACCACCCATATCTTGACGGTTTGTGATTCCTATTTCTTTCTAGCACTATAACCAACCATTTTCACAGGGTATGACCAGCCCAGGTACAACATTATCACCGCTAACCATCCTGAACCACCATCAACCACAACTAACTAATTAACTATTACTATTAATGACTCAATGAATGACTATTACTATTTAACTATATATGACAATTTTGAAACCACAATCACTAGTCATGATTAACCATAATAAACATTTATCAACCATCCCACCATGGCACAGGTACGTACAAGACATCCACGGTACAGGCCTTTGGCTCCGGGCAGTTGCGCGAGGCCTCCTCAATGGAGAGCAAGGCACGCATCATCCACGTGGTGGCGGCCACGCTGTCAAAGACACAGTTGGCCAGGGCAAAGTTGCGTTCCTGGTGGGATCTTAAAGGGATTTCGTAAGATTCCGTAAGGAAAAAATGAGATTTTATGGTGATTTAGTGGAAAATACTTCCATTTGTTTTTGGAGATTTAGTGGAAAATATTGTGTCTTTAGTGGTGGGTTAATGCCAAAAAAAAGATTTTGTGAAGAGTGAAGGTTTAGTGGAAACAATTGTGATTTGATGGTCGTTTTGAAGTTGGAAACACGGCTTTTTTCCCGAATGCGTAGCAAGGGTTCCAGTTTCACTCTGGGGGTCTGGGGGTTGAGGGTGTGTTCGCTCGACGTTGCGTTTACATCCGCAACCGTTCGCAACCGTCCGCAACCGTTCGCGCGATCCCCGTATGGCCGTGCCTATGGTAAGTTCTGCAGAAGGGGTGCTTTTTGTAGGTTTCAAACATCTCGTTGCTTCGTTTCGCGTGGCAGGCGTGGCACTTCGTGACATTCAGACGTGTTTTGTAACGTGTCGAAAATGGTTTTGTGTGGCAGGCGCGATACTTTGGTGACGTTTTCAGAAGATGCGTTGCAGTTTTCGTGGCAGGCGCAGCGCTTTGGACGTGTCCATCGTCATTTTGCGTGGCAGGCGCAGCACTTTAGACGTGTCGTGTTGCGTGTTTTTTGCGAATCGCATTGGCAGGGCTGCGTCAAGTGGCGACAAGGTGCGGATTCCGTGGCAGGCGTGGCATTTTGTGAGATGTGCTGAAAATTGATGGAATCCTGGCACGAAACATCGATTTTGAGGTTGCAAATTTTCAGGTTCCTCAGAAAACTCGTAGGAAAACTTCGATTTTGATGCTACAAAGTGTCAAAATTGGAGGATGTCTCGCACGAAATGCTCGTTTTGGCGCTACCACGTGTCTCGTCTCGAGTCTCTGGTTTTCCCGTGGCTTCGCCGTGTCTATAGGGGAAGCTGCACAACCTCTCCTTTTTGGAGGTTTCCAAGCAGGTTGTTCTGCTGTTTTGCGTGGCAGGCGTGGCACTGTGTGACATTCCAACCTGTTTTATACCGTGTCGACAGTTCTTTTGTGTGGCTGGCGCAACAAAGCACTCCACACTTTACACTCTACACTTTGCTCCACACTCTACACTCCACACTCCACACTCCGGACTCCACTCTCTACACTCCACCACACTCTACACTTTACACTCCACACTTTCCACTTTGTACTCCACACTTTACACTCTACACTTTACACTCCACACTCTACACTCCACACTCTACACTCCACACTCCACACTCTACACTCCACCACACTCTACACTCCACCACACTCTACACTTTACACACTCCACAATCCTCACTCCACACTTTACACTCCACACTCTCCACTTTACACTCCGCACTCCACACTCTACACTTTACACTCCGCACTCCACACTCTACACGTTCCACTCCACACTCCACACTCTACACGTTACACTCCACACTCCACAATTTACACTTTAGACTCCTCACTCCACACTTTACACTTTGCACTTTACACTCCTCACTCCACACTTCACACTCCACACTCCAAACTCCACACTTTACACTCTACACTGTTTACTCTACACTCTACACTCCACACTTTACACTCCTCACTCCACACTCCGCACTCTACACTTTACACTTTACACTCTGCACTTTACACTCTACACTCCACACTCCACACTCTACACTTTACACACTCCACACCACACTCTACACTTTACACACTCCACACGCCTCACTCCACACTTTACACTCCACACTCCTCACTGTACACTCCACACTCCACACTCTACACTTTGCACTCCACACTCCCCGCTTTACACTCCTCACTCCACACTTTACACTCCACACTTTATACTTTGCACTTTACACTCCTCACTCCACACTTTACACTCCACACTTTACACACTCTACACTCCCCACTCCACACTCTACACTTTCCATTGCACACTCCACACTCTACACTTTACACTCCACACTCTACACTTTACATTTTTCACTCCTCACTCCACACTTTACATTTTACACTCCTCACTCCACGCTTTGCACTCCACACTCCACACTTCCCACTTTACACTCCACACTCTACACTTTACACTCCACATTTTACACTCTACACTCCACACTTTACACTGTACACTCCTCACTCCACACTTTACACTCCACACTCCACACTACAGCCCGCACTCACTACACTCCGCACTCCACACTGTACACTTTACACTCCACACACTACACTTTACACTCTACACTTTACTCTCTACACTCCACACTCCACACTCTACACTTTACACACTCTACACTCCCCACTCCACACTTTACACTCCAGACTCCTCACTTTACACACCACACTCCACACTCTACACTTTCCACGCCACACTCCACACTCTACGCTTTCCACTCCACAATGCAGACTGGTAAGAGGGGAAATATATATGTACAAGACTGTTCAAATCAACTATTGCAGAAAAGTCTTCTGCGTGACTGCATATTCATGTGTTTCGACATCTGTACCATTAACATACGTGTGAGCATTCGGGTTCGTGGGCTGCATCTTGTTATACGTATAAATAGATCCATAACTACTCCAGGGTTTGGGGCGCATTTAACATTAGAAAGGAATTATGGTCAGTGCCAGAATTATAGAACGGAAGTTGAAGAGTACAAAGGTACGGTTATTTACCGTACCCTGTTGTTCCATAATTCTGTTTTCCTCGGAAGGTATGAAAAAAAAACGTACCTTAACTTACCCCTATTTTTTTTCGTTCTATAATTCTGGTTTGCTCTATAATTGTGTGTTCCCCAATTTTTCTCACATTTACCAATTTCGTTCTATAATTAATTTTCCGTTCTATAATTAATTCTGCGGAAACCGTTCTATAATTATTTTTTCCGTTCGATTTTGCGGAAACCGTTCTATAATTCTGGTTTCTGTGTCACTGCTGTCCGGGGTATATGTACTGTACATGTACAAATATATCATGGAGCTGCCAGAAATTCTAGAACGGAAAAATTAAGAACGGAAAAAATAATTATAGAACGGAAAAAATTATAGGACGGAAAAATAATTATAGAACGGAAAAATAATTATAGAACGGAAAAAATAATTATAGAACAGGATCCGAATCCGCGCGGAATCGGGATCCGGAGGAGTCCGAAGGTACGGTATTTTACCGTACTTTTGTACTCCTGATTCCGTTCTATAATTCTGGCACCGACTGTATACTGGGGATCATCATCTGAGTCATGCTAAGCAATGCAACGCACTGCTACGTAAAGTGTACGCGATAAATAGGGACTCAACATAGGATCTGCCCACGGTACCTGCATCTAATCCATGAATAAACAGGTCAGCAACAAGTCACATCATATATGGGGATTATATAATGGGGTGCAAGGAGATACTACGTGGGAATTTGTGAAATAGTGTGTGTGTGTGCACAAAAATGTAAGCAAATATGTTGATCGCATATCATCCAGGCAATTTGATAGACTGATTCAGAATCTATTTATCACCCAATTTTGTCGGAAAATCTACCACCAAACAAGCCATTCAGGACTCCCTCAGTCATTCAGGAGCCCGTTTTTTGTAAATGGAAAGGTTTCACCAAGCCCGTGGTTTTGAAAATGACATGAAAGAACCCGTTCAAATAAAAAACTCTGACATGTATGTACATGTTAAATACATACATCACACCACATCACATCACATCAAATCACACCACATGGCATCACATCACATTGCATACGTACATACATCAAAAGATTTGACGCACTTCTAATCAATTCTACATATATATATATATACACATATATTAGATACTACATACACCTTTAAACCACTTGAATGGCAAATGGCGTTGCAGCCTCATAATGGCAGGATATGGTAGGACTATTGATGATAAGCCAACCTCCAGCAACACAGTCGGCCAAAATAATCTTTCAAATCTTTCAAAGCACCACCCAGGCTCAGTGTTGTAGTTATGTTTGGCATCCACTGCTCTGACCTTCTGCTCTTTGCTCACCAAATCGCGAGGAAGTCCCTTGCTCTCGGCATCAAACAGCACGTTGGGCAACACGGCCCGGCCACCGGCTGAGGGCGCCGTCAGATTTCGGAGCTTCGCGGCAATCTCGGCAGACTTGGCGCGGTAGGCCGTGAGGTTCTGCGCGCCTCTGGTGCTCCGCAGGCGCCGCTCCTCGGGTTCTGGGAGCAAATGCTGGTACCACCGCTGATACACACGCCTTAGTTGCACTTGGGGAGCCATTCCACATCTTGCTGGAGTTGGATGACGGATGGAGATAGAACATGATGGAACAAGAGCTATTTTAAAAAAGCTAAGCAAAGTACGCCCCACCCTTAAAAACGCACAGTCTCCAGCTGGTCTCCCTGGGCTTGGTCAAATAGCAATCTTCATCAAAGCCGTAGATCGTGGACCCTGCCGTGGCCAAATCCCTCAGAATGGCTGCAGCACATGAGCCGCCCTGGGAGATGGTAGCTGCACAGGTGGAGCTGGCGCTGGTTAGAAAGGCCGTGAGCCACAGAATGGAAGTGATGGCATGAGCCACGGGAGCCTGGAAGATGAGTTGGTTCATGAGGAAACCATGGATTTATGAGCAGCTATGGGGTTTCTTGCAACATGTCTCGTAAACTCTCATCGGCTATTTGAGATGTCTTAAGTACCTCTGTGATCCTCTGTGTACATTTAAACCTGAAATGATACATTAATGTGTAAAGGTACGTAAAAATATACCCCTCCAAACAAGAAACATGTATATATTTTGCCTTCGGCGCATTGACAAATGCGAGCCGCGGAATTAATACGTGCATCGAACACGAATGAATAATATGACACATCGTTGGTTTCCTAGTCATGGCAACTGCTCCTGTCAACCTAGGATCAAAAACCCCAAGTACCACCCCGATTATCAAGAAGGGGGTACCAAGCTTAGTAGGAACATATCCCAAATCATAGCATTGTATAATACACTAGTAGTTAGGGCCTATTACTCCGGGTAGGTCCAGTAATTAAATGTAGTTATGTAAGTCAAATAGGTTCAAAATGAGATCACCCGCATTCAGTTCGTAGGAGCCGTACAGCCCAAAGGCTCATCATCAGGACAAATCTCCGCGCGGTAGATGTTCACCACAGCCTTCCCCAAATAGGTTGCCGCTTGCACTGCATCGATCACACAAGTGGTCTTCACGATGGCGTTTTCCTCGGAAAAATGATGGCTTATGTCGCTGATGTCAGGTGAATTCAACACTTTTCTCGAGAGTGGGAGCCAATGATGGGACGTCATTTCACAATTTGAAGGAAGGGCCACTTCAAGCTTCCACAGTCTCACAAACTTACTCGGGATATTTTTCCAAGCATAGGATTTAGAGGCTTGAAATCTGTCTAGCCTTGAGCTGAGCATGCGTTGAGCTTTGGGATTGGCAGCAATTGGGGTCGCAAAAAGTTTGGGAATCAATGAAGAACATTTATATATCTTTTCAGCACCCAGCTGTACCATGTCCCAGTGTCAGTGGGGTAGTCTTCATACGGCTCATCCGGCTCATCGAACAAGTTCACGTCGAAGAGGTGCCGTTGCTCCTGTTGCTCCCGGCGGAACTCGGAGTGCAAGGGCAACATGAGATCATGATCTGTTGGACCATCCGCGGACGGTGAACCAGCCCCTGCGGTAATGGCCAGCCAAAGAACCATGCACAAAAGCCTTGGGGTGGCGAAGAAATCTCAGTTTTAGATTGGGATTGTCCATTAATTAAAAACCATCCAGCTATTGGTGATACCCCATTTGTGGAACCGCCAATATATCCCCACCAAGTTTTTTTACTATCTAACGATTAGAAATCATGCTAATAAAGTTTGTCCTGACTTGCCTTTTTACGGACATGTCATGAATTTAACCTGCCACAGAAACGCAGACCTGGCAAACCTTAACATTGGAAGACCTTGTCCCCCCTCCACTGCGCACACACAACTGAAAAGAATGCAAACACTACAAACCCAAAAAATCACACACTTTGTATACATCGGCATGCTTGTCTGTTGATTAAAAAAATGTTTCAACACAAGTTGTTTCAACACCATTTCCGTTGGGGTAGATGGCAACATGTGGCAACAAGTGTCTTTTCATGTCCTGATTCTGGAGGTAAGTTACAATATTAGTATAGCCTGTATAGCAACCCCGACAAGATAGAAAAGTAACATCCAATTAAAATAGTGGTAAATTACTGATCTATGTTTTGTTTTTTTTTGGGGGGTACTACCAATGAATTGTAATAATTGCAACTGAGTCTAAATCGTTTCCCTTCATATTATATAAGCGTGCCAGTTCCCAGGGAGAAATCATCCAGTTGCCAATCAAGACACCAGAATTTAAATAGAAAACGGGGAGATTTCAATTTTTTCGGGGTCGCATTGTATCATATTTCATGAATAACAAATCATCACTTGTTGGCACTAGCCCCGAACAATTCAGATGGCCAGCCACTGTTTTCCAATGTTTCTTCAACTGGGGTTGACATTGACTATCAAACGGTTTGCTCAATTCGTAGCCCCTTGGCCCCTATAAACAAAGGGGAGTAAGGCTAGCCATAGCTCCGTTGATGATTTGCAAACTTCCAGGATCATCCGGCATTGCCAGACTCCAAGAAACAGCAGGTTGCTCCCCAGAAGTCCAAGCACCAAGGGCCCGGATGCCCGTCGCCAGCCTCCTGCATTGCGCTCCTCGTTTTGAGCATCGGCAATCAGCTGTTGGTCTTCCACCGCCATGGCAGATGCTGCAACAGTTCGAGGGCTGGGATGGGGTTGCCCAAATGGCTTCGGATTTTTTTCACTTGATCTGACATCATTGGACCATATCTGACCAATGGAAACTCAAGTTGCAATATATCCCTTTTTCAGACACAGCCCCATATTGTACTTTCTGTATGCATATGGAAGTTTCTCAAAATGGCGGTACCCCGAAATGGATGGTTTATAATGGAAAATCCTATACTAAAATTGATGATTTTGGGTAGCCCCCATTTCAGGAAACCACCATATTTACATAAAGAACTGAATGTTTGCCGAGACGCCGCCATCACGCCTCCAGCAATGCTAGCGAAGCCTGCTGTCATGACCTAAACAAGCTGAGTTGGTTCATCCTCTACGCATCCATTTCCATTTTCAGAAAGTTACTGGTTGGTTTTAGCCATCTTGAGAAATTTTAGTCAATGGGAAGGATTCTTATCATGGAAAATAAACAATGTTTGAAACCACCAACCAGGTTATATATGGAGGTTTCCTAAAATGGAGGTGCCCCAATAGCTGGATGGTTTATAATGGACAATACTATTAAAATAGATGATTTGGGGGTACCCCCATTTTAGGAAACCTCCATATGGTATGTATATATATATACCTGTTGATATGCTAAAATACTTAATTGTATTGTTATGTATGGTTATATGGTATAACGTTAAATACCTGGGCTGAGTAGACTTTAAAGGACCCAACGGCCCAACCCAACTGGCTGACATCACTGTAAATGATGATCGAGGGAATCATCCCAACATGACCCATGTACTTAGCCTGATGATTTGTGTGGGAAGTAGGATGTACGCTTAGTCCACTTGTAATGGGGGCTTAGAATGGTTTATAGTCTATTGTGGTCTACATTGAAACATCTAGCAAGTGGTGAACATCATTCTTGAACATGGTTAGTTCATCAAGTGGTGATGGGATCTACACAATTATAGCTACGTGGGGTGCACATCCAAGCATGTTGAGGCTTGCCTCTCAAGTGAAACCAATTGATTATATACGACTGGCCGGGTACTTCCTGAACCTTGCTGGTGAAATTCTATGGACATTTGTGATTAAAGACTCAGTTTCGGTAGCTATCTGTTCAAAGTCGATGACCAAAAACTCAAACAATGAAACACCATTCTTGCTGCGTGTAGTACCGTAGAACTAGTCACATCTCACCCAAGCAGAATTCATATCCCTGCTGCTGTGTTTGTGTATCCATGTGTATCCTAATTCATAATAATTCCTATGTAAATTATCCCAGTCTTATTTTCAAAAATAACACTTACTGTATTCATCGCCAGTAGTTCACACAGTTCTTTTTGCAGTTGCAGTTGCCACGTTTTCATTCACCCATATCATACCCCGAGTCAACCATGGGCTTTAGACGAATCCCTTCCTCCATTCATACTAAACACCCCCTAGAAACCATGACAAAAAGATGGGGATTTACAATTCTTTGGGACCATTCATGGGGTGTTTGGTATTGGATGGGATAAGTTTTTGCCAAATTCATCTGGGTTTCCACTGTCCAATTTCCTTGGAAGTCCAGCCGCCCCCAAATTGCAAGCCCCGGGACAGCGTGGATCTCCGAACACGTGAGATGCGCCAGGAAGGGCTTGGCCAAGAGCGGCGCTTCCTGAGGGCCGTTCGCGAAATCGCTGGATACGACCAGCCAATCTTTGGCTATGTTCAGATGTACGAATGAAGGGCTATGGTTCCCATTTGATATTGAAAAAAACACGGAAAAATGATTCACACTGGAAACAAAACATGCCATAGACTATGCACGGATATTTCATGCAAGGTGGTGACCCCCGCAGGTATAAGTTGATTGGTTTATAAACCATGGCTATTTACCATAAACCCTAGTGAAAGTGAAGTTATAATCCAACTTAGCGAACTGGGGCACCAACGTGTATGCAAAAAAAATAATGGGTATGGTTCCCATCTTATAATCTAAACAAACATCAGACATATGTAAAATTATCAAAACCCATCAGCGCATATATGGTTATTATTAAACATCGCTAAACCATCAATTTTCTGGGTTTTCCACAATTCTGCATCAGACAAACTAGGTATCTGGAGCAAGTCCGTTTTTTTTGGGGGGCCATGGTCACGTATCAACCACGGGGATGAGATTCTTCTGAATATTTTAATGTCCAACTGTCCAACAGCCAAAAAACAGCACTGGTTGGTGGTATACCTACCCTCTGAAAAATATGACTTCGTCAGTTGGGATTATGAAATTCCCAATATATTGAAAAATAAAAAATGTTCCAAACCACCAACCAGGTTAAATGTTCAAAAGTGGTGCCCCCCCCAGTTATGCGGGTTTAGATTCATCCCATTAAGCAAGTTCGATCTATCAAAAACCGTTTCACCGAAAGAAACCAACTGAGCTATCGTAAACGGAGGCCACACCTTGTACAATACATTCATTAACCATCTGGGTATGGGTCAAACTTGGAGGATTCGGCAACCAGCCAATTTTTGGGGCACAGTACAGTGCATCATTTGTATTCGTGCCCATCTTGACAAATTGCGCGTCCCTTGCAGTAAACTGGCACAAAAGTGGCATAAGGTTTCATTATTCATACAATGTGGCCTCCCCCAGTTATAAGTTGGTTTAGATTCGCCCCAGTAACTAGTTCGTTATTTGCGTACCATAAACCAGTTCGTGAAATTGGACTTATGTTCACCAACTGAACGCTATCCAACGGGGGCCTCACATTGTAGGGAAACCCAATGCATCGAGTGTCGTGGAGGTGCTGGTGCGATGACCAAACCTACTACAAGGTGCTGCGCCATAGTCAGCTCATACTTGGTTTCATTTGGTTTCGAAGTGGATTAGGCTTTATTGTGATTCAAGATGATTCAAGCATAGTTAGATTAAATAAATTAACCTCTACCTGGGGCACCACTTTCGAGGCCGGTCATTGTATGACCTCAAACAAGCGCCGGGTCTCAGTTTGTCCCAGGAAAATGTTGGCCGCCGACATCAAGGATTCGCCTTGGAGACTCAAGGTGGCTGCCGTTGCATGATTGATTACTGGAGGGTTTTTTGTATGTGATATAATATATATATATGTATGTATGTATGTATGTATGTATGTACGTACCTGCTTGAACTATGTATATGATTGTATATGTACATGCATGAACATGAACCGCATGAACATATGCATCTACACTCCTTTGCAGTCATAGCTTGGTGTATAAACTCATCGAACTATGTGTCCACCCCAAATCCAACGGTTGCCTGGTTCTAAGCCAATAGAAACATATGGTGGTGTCCAATTCATAGGGGTACCCCTAAATCATCATTTTTTCTAGGATTTTTCATGAAATAAACCATCCAGCTATTGGGGTACCCCCATTTCCGGAAACCTCCATAGCTACAAGACCTTTCCTGCATGTGGCTCTGAAAATTTGGACAAAACTCCGTTCCATCCACAGGTTGATCATCAACAAAGCCAGGTCATCAGGTCATCATTTTCAGATGCATCCTTCGTTCATATCAAGTTGGTTACATATTCCAGTAGATACTATGAAATAGCACCAGTAGAATTGCCTTTTGATTTGGGGCTAGATCCACCATTAGTTGTAAACTTCCCAGTGTATCCCACCATATCTTATACCCCCAAAAAATAGTTATAATATATCCATAATATCCATAGTATGCCAAAAAAAAAGCATGCCACTGCGTTCATTGGCATCCTATTGTCTCCCACATCCCATTCTAGCCCCATAAAGTAAGCATAGAGTAACCATAACTTGGATTTGCTTAAGGGGTTCCCAAAAAAAACAATATTCACTTAATCGATTCCCCAGTCATGGTGGATTAAAACCAGTGGGAAAATAAGCCAAATCACCGACTAAACAAAAAAACATGATAAATAACCAGAAAGTACCAACCATTCAGTGAGAATTCGTTCATCAATAATGTCCTTTTGGGAAAAATAGAGGGGCCGGGAGCTGGTATACCATCTATCATCAAACAAACCTGTTGTTTTCCAGGGGTAAACCTTCAAACCCCTCTATTTTCATCAACCAACCAATGGGAAAAGGACATCGTCCAAGGGGCAATATGAGGTGCCCATGACCACCTGCATCAACCAGCCGATCCTGCGGATGTTCTCACAGTTTGAGGGCACCCAGATGGCGTTTTTTTATTGGAATTCTGTTCACCAACAAACGTATAGTATATTACAACAAAAAAAGTGTAGTGTTTTTTGATTGGAATTATCTTAATTATTTATGAATATCTATGATTTACAAATCATATAGTTGTGAGATTAGGTACTCTCCTACAGTTATGGACTGAAATACCAGTTATAATATAAATGGATATAAATGGTTGTACATACGGTTATCATCCCATAAATGGTGTTATAAGTGCAAAGGGTGGCCCTCAAACGATAGTTAAGTCGGTTTACAGTTTATGATACTTATAACTATAGTATTCATGGAGTCAATCTAAACCAACTTTTAACTGGGGGGGCACATTATAGCGATTTATGATTTATGATTTACAATCATTTGAGTTATATAAACACATGATTTATGATTGCCATAGCGACATGTGGCACATGAACAGTTATTAACTATAGTTTTCCGGCTGAGATTCACACCACGAATATTGTAGTTATGTTTGCCATACACCCTAGGAAAATTGGAGTGATGTTTACCAATTTAGCTATCGTTGGGGGCTGTACCTTGCTGTTAGTAAGTGCCTAATAAACCACTGGGATGTAGCAGCAACACTTGGGATTAACCAAAAGACTTGGGAAGCAAGATGGCTTTAAGTATCCACCAGAAATGTGTTCAACCAACTTAATTGGCATTTCAGATTATGTATATAAACATTGTAAACCATGAAACAAAATGGACAGCGAATTATATAGATAGGCCATGGATGGCCATGGTTAGCCCAGAGGTTGTCTGCCGGTCTGTTTCCTGGAGAAATTTCCGCGAAGAGGGTCCTGTTTCGCGCCTCGATATGTAAAGAAATGTTCTGTTCACATCTTTCGTTGGATTTCGGGTGATTCTTCGTAGGTCGACAAACCAACAGTTCACCACTTCACCACGAATGGAGTCGTCAGATTTCACGATGAGGAAAATCGGATTTGACCCCGGTGATGTCAACAAGAATTCGCATAGATTGGTATTCTCGAAGTAAAAGGTGTATCCCATAGGTGCCCCAGTGAATCACGAAGTTGGTGTCAACTGGTTAACTCATGTTAACTCGGGTTTTTGCTGGTGAAATGAATACGGTTAGGTGGGTTCATAAACTATAGCAAGCTCCACAAAAGATAGAAACATGAAATCCTGTTAGGTAATGACAGCTTATAGACTACTTGGAGAGTTTGGATGTTTGGTTGTGGTAAACCACTTTCCATCTCCTCGGGGTTTCCTACATCTTATACATACCTGAGGGGTTTCCTCCGAACATGTTCTGCCCATTACCCAAGACCATTCCAACAGCTTGGAAGTGCACTTCCAGTGAATTTTGTGGATATACGTCACTAAAGTTCTACTTGCGCAGTTGAGGTTCAAACGGCTAGAACTATAGTAAACTAAGAGTTTGCTATTGAATATGGTCATAGTTAAATAGTTGATTTACCCATTAATAGCATGGTGGATCTTTCCAGTTCGTTTTTTTGTAAACGTGTAACGTGTACCAGAGGCTAGAACTATCAAAGTAACTGTTAGTTGGACCATTATAACCATTATTAACCATTACTAACCATTAGTAGCCATTATTAACCATGATTGACCATTGATTAATCACTAACTGCATTAGTAACCATTATAACCATTATTAACCATTAGTAGCCATTATTAACCATGATTGACCATTGATTAATCACTAACTGCATTAGTAACCATTATTAACCATTATTAACCATTAGTAACCATTATTAACCATGATTGACCATTGATTAATCACTAACTGCATTAGTAACCATTATAACCATTGTTAACCATTAGTAGCCATTATTAACCATGATTGACCATTGATTAATCACTAACTGCATTAGTAACCATTATTAACCATTATTAACCAGTAGTAACCATTATTAACCATGATTGACCATTGATTAATCACTAACTGCATTAGTAACCATTATAACCATTGTTAACCATTAGTAGCCATTATTAACCATGATTGACCATTGATTAATCACTAACTGCATTAGTAACCATTATTAACCATTATCAACCATTAGTAGCCATTATTAACCATGATTGACCATTGATTAATCACTAACTGCATTAGTAACCATTATAACCATTATTAACCATGATTGACCATTGATTAATCACTAACTGCATTAGTAACCATTATAACCATTATTAACCATTATTAACCATTATTAACCATGATTGACCATTGACTAATCACTAACTGCATTAGTAACCATTATTAACCATTATTAACCATTAGTAACCATTATTAACCATGATTGACCATTGATTAATCACTAACTGCATTAGTAACCATTATTAACCATTATTAACCATTAGTAGCCATTATTAACCATGATTGACCATTGATTAATCACTAACTGCATTAGTAACCATTATAACCATTATTAACCATTAGTAGCCATTATTAACCATGATTGACCATTGATTAATCACTAACTGCATTAGTAACCATTATTAACCATTATTAACCAGTAGCCATTATTAACCATTAGATTTGACCATTGATTAATCACTAACTGCATTAGTAACCATTATAACCATTATTAACCATTAGTAGCCATTATTAACCATGATTGACCATTGATTAATCACTAACTGCATTAGTAACCATTATTAACCATTATTAACCATTAGTAGCCATTATTAACCATGATTGACCATTGATTAATCACTAACTGCATTAGTAACCATTATAACCATTATTAACCATTAGTAACCATTATTAACCATGATTGACCATTGATTAATCACTAACTGCATTAGTAACCATTATTAACCATTATTAACCATTAGTAGCCATTATTAACCATGATTGACCATTGATTAATCACTAACTGCATTAGTAACCATTATAACCATTATTAACCATTAGTAGCCATTATTAACCATGATTGACCATTGATTAATCACTAACTGCATTAGTAACCATTATAACCATTATTAACCATTAGTAGCCATTATTAACCATGATTGACCATTGATTAATCACTAACTGCATTAGTAACCATTATAACCATTATTAACCAGTAGTAACCATTATTAACCATGATTGACCATTGATTAATCACTAACTGCATTAGTAACCATTATTAACCATTATTAACCATTAGTAGCCATTATTAACCATGATTGACCATTGATTAATCACTAACTGCATTAGTAACCATTATAACCATTATTAACCATTAGTAACCATTATTAACCATGATTGACCATTGATTAATCACTAACTGCATTAGTAACCATTATAACCATTATTAACCATTAGTAGCCATTATTAACCATGATTGACCATTGATTAATCACTAACTGCATTAGTAACCATTATTAACCATTATTAACCATTAGTAGCCATTATTAACCATGATTGACCATTGATTAATCACTAACTGCATTAGTAACCATTATTAACCATTATTATTAGTAGCCATTATTAACCATGATTGACCATTGATTAATCACTAACTGCATTAGTAACCATTATTAACCATTATTAACCATTAGTAGCCATTATTAACCATGATTGACCATTGATTAATCACTAACTGCATTAGTAACCATTATAACCATTATTAACCATTAGTAACCATTATTAACCATGATTGACCATTGATTAATCACTAACTGCATTAGTAACCATTATTAACCATTATTAACCCTTAGTAGCCATTATTAACCATGATTGACCATTGATTAATCACTAACTGCATTAGTAACCATTATAACCATTATTAACCATTAGTAACCATTATTAACCATTATTAATCATGATTGATCATTGATTAATCACTAACTGCATTAGTAACCATTATTAACCATTATTAACCATTAGTAGCCATTATTAACCATGATTGACCATTGATTAATCACTAACTGCATTAGTAACCATTATTAACCATTATTAACCATTAGTGCCATTATTAACCATGATTGACCATTGACTAATCACTAACTGCATTAGTAACCATTATTAACCATTAGCAACCAGTAGTAACTACTAATCATTGAGGTACCAGTAGTTGAATTAACCATTACAACCTCGATGTTTTTCTGGGGAACCTCAACTACTGCAGTGCCAGGCCAGTGACCTGTTCGTATAAATTTCACCATTCGCCTGCAACCCCAAAATAGCTTGTATCCTTTTATGTGTATATATATATATTATTATATCATTTAATCCTAAACCCCATGAAATCCCATGAAATCACCATGTTTTATGCTTAAATCACCATGTTTTTTATGGTGGAATCACCATTTTTGGACATCCCGTACTAAGGCTTTGACGTCTGTCCTTACAAAGACTGCCTGTACTAAGCCCAGATGGTATGCCGCTGCCACCATACTGCTGAAAAAGACCACCACCTCGGACCGGGCGGAGCGTCGGAAGCTCCGGAGTCGTGTCTGGTGAAACAGAAAAAAACACACTGGTCATATTTACTCGCCATAATGAGTAACTATAGTTGGTTTATATACCATATAGTAACACTGGTCATTATTGAAAATAGTGGTTATTATAAGTTCATGATCGAAGGAAGTCTAGAAATCAAACTTCCGACAATATGGACAGATGAAAAGCAGAGATGGGAAGAGTCAGAGAAGAGAAGAGAAGAGAAGAGTCAGATGAAAAATAATGATATGCCATAGAAAATGACATTGTAAATAAAAACCAGTGCCTGGTTATAATGATAAGACTGGTATTATTGAAAATAGTGGTTATAATGTTCATGATATACCATAGGAAATTTAATTAGTAAAAATTGTATAAGTGTTATGACAATAATGATATGGTATTATACAATAGGTATTATTTAATCATTATGACAATATATGAATATAGTCATTTTCATCATGACCACTGGTTATATTAGACCACTGTTTCATAATCACTACCAGACCATTCAAAGTGACCTCTTTCTCTCTTGGTTTGAGGTCACTTAACCCTTGAAATGGTCACTTACTAGGCCCAAAATAGTCACTGTGAACTGTCAAGTATGATATATTTAATTCATTTAAGATAGTGGTCATGATATTATATTATATCATCATTAGCTAAATTTGGCGAAGTTGGTGAATAGAACTCCACTATAAAACGTTTGGCGAAGTTGGTAGATATCTCGCACTATAGTTACTCATTATGGTATATAAACCAACCAACTGATTGTAATTATAACAATTATCATGATCAATATATTGCAATATGTAACACACATAATTGAGGCAATATAATTGGATACGCGTTTTATTTCCATGTGGGGTTACATCAAAAAATCCAGTTACAAATGGGATAACCCAGGGCAGAGAAGACAATAAATGCACTGTTTGTAAAGGTATGGATCAAATACATAGGGCACAAACACCTGCCACCGCCTAAAAAAAAATTAGCTCGGAGAGTCTTCAAACATCGCATCAAGTCGTGACCTTGTTCATTTGCATTTAGCTGGTTGATAAACATCGCTTTGATTTTGAGAAAGGTAGTATCCAAAAATAGCATCAATACATTGACATGACCAATTATTTTCTTAGCTGGCTAGTCACATTTTTCCATTGTTTCGGCAAAAAAACATTACTAAACTATCCATCCAGTCTTTGAACCATGAAACATACCCCTATCCCATCCCGTTGTACTGGTCATATTCCTATTATGTATGGGCTAGTTCATACCCAATAAACCAGGTATCAATAGATTGGTTTAACGGAAAATTGACTGGTTTAAGCCCCATATTTAACGGGAAAACCTATGGTTTCCTGTAGGTTTTCCCAACAAAACCAATCCATTGAAGGTAGTCTAACTCCCTAGTTTCCAATCAAGTGAGCTATAACTTTCATGGCGATGGCACTCATCCCACAAAATCCGACAACATCCGCCGTCAGGGAACAGGGAGCACGTTGAAAACGAAGGCGCCCCCAAATGCCTCTTTGTAGTTCGCCCCAAAGGCCTAAGAGAAGTTTTCACTACGATGATATCGCCCTCTGTAGATTACAATTAGTATCTATAGCATACTAATGATAGTAGAAATAAAATAAACATATATATATAATTATACATATATGCATACTTACATATACACATAATATAAGATACATGTTTATAGATATATTTTAAGTAATAATTATACCATAAATTATTGTACAGTATGAGACGTATCATTATTTCCTATAGATATAGCCAATGTTCTACTTGAATTTGCTGATTCGTTCCATAAACAAAAACTAGTTGTCATATCCCCAAGAATAAAAACAATACCTTAAACAAGCCCAGGTCTACAGAGTATGCAACATGTCATACATAAAGCACAGGATTCACTGTCAACAAAAACCAAACCAAAGACGTGAGTGATGCAGCAATCCATCTTTGAGGGTCCTGGGCTGGCTAGAGCAACATCACCGTGTCCTGTGTGTTTCTTTCTTTTTTTTGTGAGAAAGTCATAGAGATTGCCAAGGAAAATTGGTGAAAATTGAAGGTTTTAATTTTAATATGTTTAAATAAGGACATCATCGAAATAGATGGTGAATTATCCATTGCCACGTTTCATTACCAGAGGCTAAATGGATCTAAACGGTGAATTGCTCATTGCCACCCTCATTGCCAGGGTATGTTGACCATCGAGCCATGATCTGCGTGCTAGATGATGTAGATGCAGACATCCATAGCAATTCTATGCAATTCCCGTGGTATCCCCAAGATTTTCCACAGCAATTCCTGAGATAGTATATACTCAATATATAGTGTGATTATACGTCAATGGGTGATTACAGATATCATACTCTATAGATAGTATACACTATTTTCGTATAGCCTCAATGGGTGATTCATCTCAGGGCCCCCCTGAAACCCTTCTCTGTTTGTAAAGCTCTCTGTGACTTCGCCGGCAGCTTCCAGCTACACTCACAGTCCGACCCTGTCTTTTGCGTCCATCGCAGATCCCACGTGGGTGATCTTCTGCTGCTTCCACTCCTCATCTGGGTAAATTATAATATTTCACTATCCTGAATTGTTGGGCCATAAAAGGGGATGATTCCCCTATAAAAACCCATGGATTCCCAGGGTTCGGGAGAACAGGCTTCGGTCGTGATGTAATTTACCCAGAATGATGATCTTTAGGAGCTGACTTTGTCTCTTTTGGCAACAATTCAGCCTCTGTTTGGAGTCAGATCTCCGTCCAAACCTTCTCTTGGATCTCGCAGTTGTGCCTGCTCAGATCGGATCTGTTCCCGTTCCCGTCTTGAGAAGGATGCCACGAGCTTGATGACACTTGGAACTAACTGCATTTTATGCCAAATATGTCCAAATATATCTACCTGGTTGGTGGTTGACCTACCCCTCTGAAACATCTGAGTTCGTCCGTTGAGATTCTGAAGTTCCCAATATGATGGGAAAGTCATATATCACATGTTCCAGTCACCACCAACCAGCCAACCAGTTCGGTTATCAACCAACGATCGTAACAGCAATGCGACTGGGAGTTGCCAGGTCAGCGGGTCATAGCAACTCCAGGATCCGATTGATTGGAGGTACCTAGTACCTACCATATATAAGGCCTATGTTTTGGGCCTATGTAAGTGAATATCCCAGCAACATATGGCCTTATATGGTACAGTACCTCCATTTTAGGATCCTGGAAATCCCATTGAGTTAATGAGATAACTATAGTATATGTATAACTATAGTATTCATGGGGTGAATCTAAACCAACAAACATAACTGGGAGGGCCCGCCACAGTTATAAGTTAGTATACAAACGCCATCATCTATATCATATATAACCATTAATTACTATAAAGCCTAATGATTGGAATTATAATGAATGATATGTATACCCTTTTTAATCCAACTTAGCATAACTTAGCTATCGAAAAAATTGCTTACACTATGGTAAATTAACATAGACCCTGGCAAATAGGACTTGGAAGATTAGTTTCCATTAAAAATGGGTTATTTTCAGGGTCTATGTTTATTTACCAGAGGGTACAACCTTATCCCCTTCATTGTTTTTAAAGCTCTCCCCGATGGGCACGTCCCTCGCCGCCGCGGCACGAAGGCACTGCCCTTGTCCTCGGTGAGGTGATGACATGTGCCACGAATTGTGGTATTTTTGACCCACAAAACTTGGTTATTGCACCACTTAACTATGGAAATAATATGAATTGGAATGATTTGGTATGATTTGGGCATATCATTCTGAATACACAATGGAAATAACCATAATATGGTTATAGGATGCATCATACATACCAATACTTAAAACCTCATCTTAAAACCGTTGAAAATGAGCTTACGCCATCCTTACGACAGCAATATTGCTAAAAAATGCTTTCGCAGGCTTACGCCCACCAGTGTTTTGCTTACGCCACAGGTCCTTACAAGGATCCCAATACTAAACATAAACACGGAGGTTTAAAACGCGGCTCATATGAATTAGAATGATTTGGTAATTTTGGTGTGATTTGGGCATATCATTCTGAATACACAATGGAAATAACCTTTGATTTGGTATGATTTGGGAATATCATTCTCAATATTCCAGATGTAACTGTGGTATTTCATATGGTTACTAGTTATTACCCACCGTCGCAGCAAAGCGTCAGTGTAAGCCAAGAATTCCGAGACGGCGTCGCCCGTGTTTTTGAAGGCGCGAAAGCCAAAGGTGGTCCGCATGATCAAAAGACCTTATTTTCCCCGGGACATTTTTTCGGCGGCAAAGGACCCAGTTTGCAGTAACATTGGACTGGTTTAAGAGAATCCCATCAAATATTTGAGCCAGTACTGGATTACTCCAATGATATATTCTCCAATGATAGATAGATTCCAATGAATTCTCCAATGGATTAATCCAATGATAGATTCTCCAATGAATCTTACTGGATTAAGAGAATCCCACTGAACTGGTTCAATGGTTTTCCCACCAAGCACAGAAGTTTCCTGCAGATGTTCCCTTCAACCAATTCTGGGCTTGTTCATGCGGCTTGGATGTCCTGCCCCATACCGGCTAGGAAGTAGCTAACACTCATATCATCTGGATTAAAAAAAAATACTGTAGCAATTCACAAACCTGAAAAAAAAACAAGTTGGGGATATTTAATATTTACCCTCACATTTACCCATCATTCCATTGATGTCGCAGTGAGGTCGTTATTTTTTGTATCCACACACGGTGGATGGTGATTTGTCTGGTTGCTTTCCATCCTTTTTACCGGTGACAAAATCCTATTGAAAAAAACCCATCGAAATGTCCCAGTGTTTCAGAAAGTACCCGGCCTGGTAATTTAACAGTTCGCTATTGAAAATCACCATTTTTCATGGGTAAATCCACTATTTCTATGACCATTTTCAATAGCAAACTGTTTGACATAACTTTGTAACACTGGGACCACGGGATGGTCTGTAAACACTATGATTTGGACCAAAAAAAAGGATCGTCCCGTTGTGTTTCTCCGATAGCAATCCCGATAGTTATCATATATAAGTGGTTATAATCCCATAGTAATCCCGATAGTTATCATATATAAGTGGTTATAATCCCATAGTAATCCCGATAGTTATCATATATAAGTGGTTATAATCCCATAGTAATCCCGCTCGTTATCATATATAAGTGGTTATAATCCCATAGTAATCCCGATAGTTATCATATATAAGTGGTTATAATCCCATAGTAATCCCGATAGTTATCATATATAAGTGGTTATAATCCCATAGTAATCCCGATAGTTATCATATATAAGTGGTTATAATCCCATAGTAATCCCGATAGTTATCATATATAAGTGGTTATAATCCCATAGTAATCCCGCTCGTTATCATATATAAGTGGTTATAATCCCATAGTAATCCCGATAGTTATCATATATAAGTGGTTATAATCCCATAGTAATCCCGATAGTTATCATATATAAGTGGTTATAATCCCATAGTAATCCCGATAGTTATCATATATAAGTGGTTATAATCCCATAGTAATCCCGATAGTTATCATATATAAGTGGTTATAATCCCATAGTAATCCCGATAGTTATCATATATAAGTGGTTATAATCCCATAGTAATCCACAGGATTATAACCACTTATGGGATATAGCCCAAGAGGTGGTGCCCCAGCGGTAAAAATCGCGAAAAGTTGACGCACATGAACTTGCTGAATTCAATGTTTTTTCTTGTACATCATGGCACGTTCTATCGATAACTTGTTACTATGGTTTGATATCCTATTATGATGTATATGATAGTTTGTTACTAAAAAATGATGATATATCATGGTTTATCCCATTATGATCCATATGATCCATATGTTTCCATATTTCCCATAGTTTTCCCAGTCAATTTGCTGTGGTTCTTATGGTTTTTCCATTGCCCGAACCGTCACATCATTTTTTGGGGGCGCCACCTCGCACAAACCATGGCCGTTCGAATGAGTCAATTGAGGGGTCAATCTTAGCTGTGAAAAAAAAGGAAGGGGATCTTCTATCAGGATGTGAAACATTCCTACTATATGTGGTTTGTTTGAAAAATAGAATGGTAACCCAAAAGTTCAGCGATTTATCATTGTCCATCATAAAATGTTCATTTTGGGGTTCCGGTTCTCAGACAATGCCACGGTTGGCAAGGGAAATATTCGCCATCTGAATCTTACCCTTCCAGGATTCACAACGTTTGACCACTTGGAAGTGCAGTTCCAGTTTTAAGTGGATATTATAACCATAGCTGTAGGTTTTTTCTATCCGAACTGAGTTCGGGGTTTTATAACCATGGTTTTCCAAAAAACCATGGTTTTGTCGGATCTTATAGGTGTTTTCTATCTTAATCAACTAACTTTTCTAGGGCTTTCAAGTCACCATAAAAAAGCGCCATTCCTGCGTCACCTCGAGCAGTCACCTTGTTGCCGCAGCCCAAAAAACGGCCCGCCCGTTTCGACTCCCGAGAAGCCGATGAGAAACTGCAGCAAAATTCCAGTAATCACAGGGCGCCATTTGACGTCTGCCCTGGAAGAAAAAACTGGGGAAGCCATGACCGAAAAAAAATGGGGATCCCAAATTGGATGTAACCAATGTGTATGTATATATATATGATATATTTTTTTGGGGTATCTTGCATGCAATTCAAACCACAACACGGAAAACAAACATCCAAGATAACTCATACCTTCTCAAGGTGTTAAAATCAATGTGGGGATCAGCCTTTGTTGCTTTGAGACAAAACATGTCTGCAGAATCAAGGGAGGTTATGAAAAGATTGCAACTCAGAATCAATATTTTGTTCAATGTGTTTTTGCAAAAACACCAAGGGTTTTACAATCATAGCGGCAAAAGTTCGACTCTTAGGCGTTTTTGCACTTGGCCAAGGCCATTCTGTGCTGAATTCACCGTGGGCACGGCGTGGCGTAAAACGCACGGCCTGGCAGCGCCTGCATATTCTGGGACATAAATTTACAATGCCCAACATAGCGAACTGGAAAATCACCATCTTTAATAGGTAAATCAACTATTTCGATGTGCAATTTTCAAGTTCGCAAACTGTAACAAATTACCAGGCCTGGTAGCTCCCAGTAAATCCCATGATGTTTCAAAGGCGTTAGTCGCGCCGCCATGCGCCGCCTGTGGGCCGAGAAGAGCCAAGTCAAAAAGACCAACATCAGCAAGCCGGCGGCAGGCACCAAGCGAGACCAATCGTCCTGGAGACTTCAGGGGAGTTGGTTTCTGAGAGGGCTTCTGTTGGTTTATAAGCATGCCAATAGGGGTATAATATTATATATATTATATTATATTATATTATATATTATATTATATATTATATTATATATTATATTATATATATTATAGTATTTATATATATTATAGTATATATATATATTATAGTGTATATATATATATTGTGAAAATATATCTCTCTACACACACCGTGGTGCTTAGCTAGAGCTTGGATTGTTAAGCAATCTGGCGGTTCCATAGTTGTCCCCTATTTTTCATCCAATCCCATGGTTAATGGATGCGTATCCCTCCAGTCATATTAATAGGTTTTGACCCATGCCCATTTGATTGGCATTGATCAGAAATATACATATATATATACATACATATATATACATATATATATACATACATATATATATATATATGTACATATATATATTTATATACATATACATATATATATATGTATCATAGATATCATCATTATATTCATATTAATGTCATCATAGGTTTCTGCCCATTTTTTTTTTGGCAGAAATCTTCAAGCTTCGAGCTCGGCCACATGGACTTTGGCTTTTGCGGTAGGTGACGTTGATTCCAAGGCTTCCCCTTCCTGTCTAAGGGAACTTCACGAACAAAGTCATTGGGATATATCCCACGTAAACCCTTGGGGTACCCGGCCTGGTAAACTGGGATAAAATAGTGGTATAATGAGATATAATGGGATTATAGTGGTATAATGAAATAACCCGGCCTGGTAAACGTTTTTTTTAGTTTGCGAACTGGAAAATCACCATCTTTAACTTTCTATGGGCCATCTTCAATAGCAAACTGTAAGAAATTACCAGAGGGTAAACTGGGTTGGAAGTGGGATACCATACGGGATAACAGCTGTGCTTCGTGGACTATAATGACTATAGTTATTTTATCAATGGAATATACAGTCGGTATATACTGGGAATATAGTGCGTATATAACCAACATTATGATACGTGATTCGCTAAATTGTATTGTATAACTCTCACACACCTGAAAATAGCTGTTACGTATCATATGGCCAGCTATGGGGATGATTCGCCCGTACATTCACCATCATTCCAGTGACGTCACGACGTGAGGTCATTGTAATTGTAATTCGTTGGTGGTTGAGCCCTACCCCTCTGAAAAATGGAGTGAAAGTCAGTTGGGATGATGAAATTCCCAATATGGTGGGAAAGTCATAATCCATTCCATGGTTCCAGTCACCACCAACCAGATAATAGTTGATTTACCCATTATCCTATTAAAAATGGTGATGTCCATAGTTATGGTACTGTATGTTTAGCCAAATAATTAAATATATAACAAGCTGAATAACAGTTATATTGATTCCATAAATATATTGATTGCTATAGCAATTGGTTATGTCCATAGTTATGTCCAAATATATAATAGCTTGGAAGCCAATTGCCATAGCAATCAATCCTCAACTTCAAGGATTCCAGGATCATCCGTATTTCCGCCCCGGCAGTCCCAAGCCAGAGCAATGGTGAGTCCCAACAAGGAGAGCACCACAGCTCCTGTTGAAGCGGCAGTTCTGGATGCTTTCCCCGTGCAATGCTATGCGCAGCTCAAAAGTTGGAGAACTATACCCAGTCCTTGGGCATCTTTGGGCTATTGTCATCAGAATTGACCATTGAAGTTGTGACCTCATTCTCCCTTGGTTTGAGGTCAACCCTTGAAATGGTCACCAAAACTAGGCCCATTCAATAGTCACAACTTGAACTGCCAGGTGCATTTCTGGCTTTCGAAAATTTCACTCACCTGAATGCTACGGCCATTTGGGGATGATTGTCCTATTCGTAACCATTAAAATATACCCATAGGATCCATGTATGCTATATATGGTAACATAGATCCCATCAATATACCCCCAATGTTAGCATATATACCAGCACCATGGATCATATGGGATATGCATTCAGATTCCCA